TATTATATGTTTTTATATAAAGAAAAAAAAAAAAAATAAAATTTAATTATTTTATAAAAAAATAAAAAAAAAATATATATATTTATAAACAAATTTATTTTTTTTATTAAAATAATAAATATAAATAAAAAAAAAATAAAAAAAGGTAAGAGTGGGGTAAAAAAAAACACATAGGAGGCACCAAGGAAAGGGGGGGGGGGGGGGGGGGGGGGGGTACGTAGCTACGCAAACAAGTTGGCGATAACATTGACGAAAGCCCTTTTTGTTTGATCAATTTTGAGGTTTTCTTCCTCCTCAAGGGAAATTAAGTCGACAAACCGCGAAAGAGAAGAGGATATTCTCTCACGTTCTCGGAGCTTTCTGCGGAATACTCTGCGACAGGTAATCTCGGGTCTATTGTTTCTATTACTAAGAGTCGTTTAGGAAGTGGTGTTGAAGAAGCTCATCAGCCGTAGGGCGCAAGTCCGGGTCCCTGCAATTATAAACAGATGGCTCATTAATAAAGGCGAAAAATCATTAGTGATATATTGATGCATACGGGAAAAGTACATTTCAAAGTTTTCTTTAACATCGGGCAAACCTGGAAGAGTATGAGAGTCGGTTAACATTGTAAACTTTGTGGGCCTACCTGAAGTTCTTTCTATCATAAAACATAAAAAAATACCTGGTCAAACACTTGTTCACGAAGTCCCGAGCGCCCTCCGAGGAATCTTCGGGAAGTTGCGGAATCGCCAACGAGCCACTTCCGATGGCAAAGATAGCGGCCATTGGAACCATATCAGACCTGAAAAGCAAAATAAGAGCCTTGATAAATGTTTTGGTGTAATTTCTTTTTCTCATTAAAAAAGGCCTCTTATCACACTCTTAAAATATCAAATTATGCCAGTATAACAGAATACAGTTGTTTTTATTTACGATTGTCTTACACTATCACATTTCTACATTTTAACAATTTACATTTCTCGACTCGAAACTTTGGTACCGAAACTCGAAAGTCGCGTCTCGAGACTCGAGATTTGAAAATTTCGGGTTTGAAGTCTCGAGTCTCGAGACATGAGTGATAACAAACTTGCTTCCACGCGGTACTGTATGTTCAAGTGTTAAGTCTTTCTCTAATACTTATTACCGGAAATCTTTGATGGTAGGATCGCAATTAACAACTTACCATGGAGGTTTACAGGTAGCCATTTCAAAAACTGTACATCCAACACTCCTGATAAAAAATAAAATAAATAAATAGATTAACTGTACATAATCATCAACACGTAGAAATCAATAAATGCCATAAACACAATAGACTTTAAAATACCAAGGTGACAAGAAAAAACTTTCACTGACCAGATATCTGACTTCCGGCCGTGTCCAGTCTCCCGGATGACCTCGGGCGCCATCCAATAGGGTGTGCCTTTCATAGACCGAAGAATATTGCTCTGACTCATACTAAGATTCTGAAACAAATTTACAAACACGTGAGGTCGCGAAAAAGGCTTTTAATACGTGATATGAAAAAATAATGCGGCAACATAAATATCAACAGATATCCCTCTTGCGTCCCAGCAGCGGAAGCATTAAGCGTCGGCCGAATTCGTGAAGGTCGGGTTTGACATCCAGCCACATTGTTATCGGAGATGGGAGCTGACTTCCTTCGTGCGTTCCTTTTCTCTCCCCTACCCCAGCGGGTTTTTCGCATCAAATCAGTTTTCACGATCTCTGCAAATTACTATCTTGGAGCGGGAGCCCATAACTCGGAGCAATAAACGTTTTGTGCCAATGCAACGGTGTTTTCATAGATCACTTTATTTTAACAGCGATTTTCTCGCGAATTTTGACCACCAAATAAGTCTTACAAATCAGGCAGCAAAAACTGGAGGCTAGGAAATAGTACTTCTGATGCTTTGATAGTCATTATTGGAGTATGGATGCGTACGCATACGGGACTGTGCTTCCATGTTAGCGGGAAAAAGTGCCGCAAAATGATGCTAAATATAAACTAGTCTGTGAAAACGCCGTTGGATGGGCTTAGTACGAGAACTGTTCGCTCCAGGTTATAGGCTCCAGCTTGGAGCCTAGAAAAGGCTAAAATCTTGTCAGTAAAACGCCGACAGGAGGTCAGGGTTAGGTACGTGGTCTATTGTACTGTTGGCGCCTTACTTAATGAACTCTGCAAACGAAGGTGGTTTCCGCTGCTTACTAGGTTGCGTTGCAAAATAGTAAAACAACGCGGGCATATTTACCTGTAGCAGAAAACCTTGAATGCTCTTCTTATTAAAACCCTCTTCCCAGGGTCCTCTCCGACTCGTGCTCGGAGTAGGAGAGGACACTTTAAACGACGTTGATTAAAAGCAAGGAATTGCTGTCACTAATTTATAAGCACAAACTTACCATGTACAAACGTTTAGCGCAACCGAAGTCTATCAACTTGAGAACACCACTAGGCATGACCATAATGTTCCCACCTTTGATGTCTCTGCAAGATGAAAATAGCACGAGGTTCACAACTTAGCACTAGTTAAACGAAAGGGAGAAAAGACTAATCCTTACAACGCTTTTTTCCAACGTAGATTTCTACGTTATGACTGACTGTAATTAGTCACTTCATGGTCAATTTGATATTCAAGATGGTAAGAGGGGTTTCTTGTACCCTTCGCCCTTGAATGAATGATGATGGAGTCTTGTAAGGTGGTTTTTAATGCACGTTCGTATTTTGAACGAGCACTTGTGCTCTTAGACGATAACGTGGGTAAATAAATTATTGATTTATATTAATTATTGACAGTCAAACCCCGGTTTACAGACACCTGCTCAATACAAACATAACATTATTACGGACACTTTGCTTTGTTCCTGGGGAAAGAAAGCGCCTACAGGTTCCCTAATATCAACCCGCTCAATACCGAAACCCGGTTAATACGGACACTTTCTATGGCCCGCTCAATGTCCGTATTAACGGGGACCTACTGTACTAAACTTTGAGTGTATGGACGAGATACTGCGGTATGACCATTCAAATGAAACCTCTCCGGTGGGTAGTAATTTCAAAGGGTACAATTTGTTTTTAGCACTTTACAAAATCAAACTTCAACTTTTGTTGAATTTTTACCTCGGCCCTTTTGGGAGTGAAAGGCGTAGAGGATGTCGAGGAGAGACTTTGGTTTAATCGTTCAAACAAAAAACCCTTTAGCTGTACTTTTCCATGGTTCATTTTAAGGATTTTATTACAATTTTCTTTTAAACGCTTATTAAAATAGCGCTGTTCAAATTGGCGCTGTTCAAGTTTACTATTATCATTATAATTATGATTTATTCTATTTTTATGACGTTGTACATTTCATTTTTCATGAATATCTGCTTAGAAAGCGGACAACAAAAAGGCCAGTGCTTTGCTTTAATCCTTAAAACGGGTGCCATGTAAGGATTAAGTAACAGTTTAGTTGAAACTGGCTGTGAATTACTAACCTATGAATAACGTTGTTGTTATGAAGATAGGACACGCCTGACAACAGCTGCTTAGTATAGCGACGGAAAACAGACTCGTAAAGACATCCAAACCTAAGAGACAGTGAAACAGTCACATTAAATACACAGTTGATCCTTGAATTGCCTTATTCACTTGAAAACTACGACGTAAATGTTCGTACAAAAATGAGTTTTGGCCATTCACAGGCCACGAACGGCTTAGGGTATGGTAAGGTAACGTAAGATGTGTCTCACATGTANTTATGACGTTGTACATTTCATTTTTCATGAATATCTGCTTAGAAAGCGGACAACAAAAAGGCCAGTGCTTTGCTTTAATCCTTAAAACGGGTGCCATGTAAGGATTAAGTAACAGTTTAGTTGAAACTGGCTGTGAATTACTAACCTATGAATAACGTTGTTGTTATGAAGATAGGACACGCCTGACAACAGCTGCTTAGTATAGCGACGGAAAACAGACTCGTAAAGACATCCAAACCTAAGAGACAGTGAAACAGTCACATTAAATACACAGTTGATCCTTGAATTGCCTTATTCACTTGAAAACTACGACGTAAATGTTCGTACAAAAATGAGTTTTGTCCATTCACAGGCCACGAACGGCTTAGGGTATGGTAAGGTAACGTAAGATGTGTCTCACATGTAAAAAAAAGCTTATTGTAGCAGCGCATGTGTGTCCCAACCTTTTCTACTCTGCTAGTAAAGGTTCCAGTCCGGCAGGGTTTTACCATTTAGGAAGTCATTCGCGTTACTGACATTCGCGTAGTTGGCTTGTCTGCGTGTCACAAACGCTTACGTTTGCATGAGTTTACTATTTTAAACGGAGTAGCGTAGCGTGGATATAGACTGAATAAACAACACACTACTGCGTTCGTTTTGGAACCTTACCGTGCAAGTATAGAGGCAATGGAGCCGCCGGGCACGTACTCCATGAAGATATTTACCACGCCTCCATCTAAACAAGTGCCAATGAACCTAAAAACAGTCGAGGAAAACAAGAATATGAAAATGGTCTCAAAACCTGCTAGAAAACATTAGTTTCGTACCAGTCTGATCATCCCGATGACAAGGTACGCCACTGGTGTGGAACGAAGTTTTTACGGGACTTAAAAAACGGAACTTCCCGATCTATGGACGTTACTAAATTGCGAGAAGAAAGATGTTAACTAAATTGTGCTTTAATACGATAAGCAATACCCAGCAAAATGCTTAGATTACGTATATGTGTTTGCGTGAAGCCTGGCGGATTGCGTTTTGTATAGTTAACCACCTCCTTGATTCTAGAACCTGTAAGGATCTTGACCAGGGAAAGAAATCTACCTCGCTCAGAATAAGGCTGAAAAAAAAAAAAAAGTTCTATACTTACTTCACTATGTTATTGTGTTTCAGAGATTTCAGCAGGGACACTTCTTCCTGAAGTTTTTCGTATTGCTAAAAAAAGTTAAAGAAGAGAAAACTACAGCGACCACTCATAAAATGCAATATTTGCTCAGGCTAAAATATGCAGGTAAGCTCAGTTCTGACACTGAGCGGAACAACAAAATGGGAATTTATCGGGTCCTATTGATACATTTGTTTTATGTATGATAATTAGCCTGTCTAACCTCATTAACACGTGCAAAATAAAAAAGAATTGTTACTTTCAAACGAGACCAAAAAGGTTCATTTATATAAATGTGAAAGAATAAATAATGGGCCGCAATACATCCTCGGAGACCCAGGGGGAGATAGTGGGGACGAGGGAAAGTCTAAACGGGCGGAAAAATATGGCACGAAGAAAAGTAATGAACGGCGAGAAGAGCCCCTGGGGACAATGTCTTACCAGACGAGTTCCAAACGGTCGCCGCCGTTTTGGCTTCTGATAAGTTTTCTGGCACCATTCAGAAGCCAGAACGGCGGCGACCGTTTGGAACTCGTCTGGTAAGACATTGTCCCCAGGGGCTCTTCTCGCCGTTCATGACTTTTCTTCGTGCCNTCCCGATCTATGGACGTTACTAAATTGCGAGAAGAAAGATGTTAACTAAATTGTGCTTTAATACGATAAGCAATACCCAGCAAAATGCTTAGATTACGTATATGTGTTTGCGTGAAGCCTGGCGGATTGCGTTTTGTATAGTTAACCACCTCCTTGATTCTAGAACCTGTAAGGATCTTGACCAGGGAAAGAAATCTACCTCGCTCAGAATAAGGCTGAAAAAAAAAAAAAGTTCTATACTTACTTCACTATGTTATTGTGTTTCAGAGATTTCAGCAGGGACACTTCTTCCTGAAGTTTTTCGTATTGCTAAAAAAAGTTAAAGAAGAGAAAACTACAGCGACCACTCATAAAATGCAATATTTGCTCAGGCTAAAATATGCAGGTAAGCTCAGTTCTGACACTGAGCGGAACAACAAAATGGGAATTTATCGGGTCCTATTGATACATTTGTTTTATGTATGATAATTAGCCTGTCTAACCTCATTAACACGTGCAAAATAAAAAAGAATTGTTACTTTCAAACGAGACCAAAAAGGTTCATTTATATAAATGTGAAAGAATAAATAATGGGCCGCAATACATCCTCGGAGACCCAGGGGGAGATAGTGGGGACGAGGGAAAGTCTAAACGGGCGGAAAAATATGGCACGAAGAAAAGTAATGAACGGCGAGAAGAGCCCCTGGGGACAATGTCTTACCAGACGAGTTCCAAACGGTCGCCGCCGTTTTGGCTTCTGATAAGTTTTCTGGCACCATTCAGAAGCCAGAACGGCGGCGACCGTTTGGAACTCGTCTGGTAAGACATTGTCCCCAGGGGCTCTTCTCGCCGTTCATGACTTTTCTTCGTGCCATACTTTTCCGCCCGTTTAGACTTTCCCTCGTCCTCACTATCTGTCCCTGAGTCTCCGAGGAAGGCCGCAATTATGAACTGAGTGGTTCATACTAATACAGAGCAGAAGTTGAGGCGCAAGTTGAGTACATGGTCTCAGCTCGGTGTTCATTTTGAGTGAGAGAATCGTTGAAAATCGGTTATATTAGATTCTGTATCAGGGTTCTCATTAATTTTTCAAGTAGACAGCTAGGATGTTAAAGTAGGCGGTTTGGTAACTGCGTGCTGTAGGCAATTTCAGGCTTTCATTCTCTCACTTTACCCTATTTCCCCAAAAAGTAGATGGCTCAAACCTCCAAGTAGTGGGCTTTTTAGCCGGCTGCCGGCACTTAATGAGAACCCTATGTATGGTTAAATACCTTTTCAGCTTCGTCCCAGTTGCTGTGATTGAGTTCAACTTGTTTTACTGCGATCATCTCTCCTGTGTTAGTGAGACCGCACCAAACCTGGGAAAAATGTGCGCCACACAAACGTTCAATTTACACAATACGAGATCACGAAAAATTCAGGATGAACAGGTTGCAGACAAGGTGTTCTTAAACATTGCGATCAAAAAATAAAAAGGAGGAGGCTCAGGAAAGAATCAGCAACAATGAAGAAACAATCGGGTGGCCAATAACGAGGTAGTCTGCTCCACAGCCGTTTTTGGGTCGTTACGCAACGCTTTGCGGGGAGGAGCGTTGCGTGACGAGGCAAAGAACGGCTGTGAAGCAGACTATATTGAGGGTTGACAGTAATGAATACACAGGGGGTTTTTCGACTTCCACCTTTTTTTACGATTGCTGGTAATCAAAACGTCTACTCACCGTTCCAAATGCTCCTTTTCCCAAAAAGTTCCCTTTCTTCCAAATAATTTCTTCTTCACAGCTGTCCGAGGACAGCTGGCTCTGAGCAGACGCACTGAGTCGACTCCGAACGACGTTCTCAGACATAACACTAGAAAAGCTACCCATTGAACTCTGGGAAATATTACCCACACTGCCAAGTGATGCGTTAGACTGCGTTCGAATAGTAGAGCTGTTGCTACTACTCCTGCTGGCACCAGACTTTTCTCTAGCCATGCGCTCGTAGTACTCAATTTCCACGGAGTTGTCAGAGCGCATGTCTCTGTCAGGTGTGGGCGTGTCCGTGCAGGAGGAGTCACGTGGTGAGTTGAAGTAAGTGTCGCTGCTGTTTAGCGAGGAGGCTGGCGAGAGAGGGCGAGGTGATTCCGAGTCACAACTATTGTACGATGAGTCCGTGTCGGAAAACTGTTCCGAGTATGAGCTCGAACTTAGCTCCGAAGATGCTCGGGAACCAAAAGACTGTCGTTCGGCTTCTTCACTCGGGAAAATTATGTCTGATTCGGTAACCGGGTTAGATGAAAAGTCTCTTGAGTGTTGGTAGCTTAAAACCCATTGTTCACCGTCCTGTGAGAGGCTGGAGCTCGTTTCACTTGTTATGTTGGTCAAGGAATCGTCGGTGATGATGTGACTTTCTGACTCAGCACGCCCATCAGATGAGGTTACCCTAGCTTCCATACCTTCTCGTAAACCAAGTCCACGCTTCACCATCTCTTCCATGACGTCATCAGCTTCATCCTGTGTAACCTGCTTAACCTGTATGTCATAATTATCACTTGTATCAATGATTTCAGCCAGCGCATGCTGTTGATCCTGAACTGCACCCTTATTAGAACGCGTAACAGGCGGCTCACTACAATCGTCATCGGACCCAGAAACTGTCTTCGATTTTCCAAAAGATAGCCGGGGTACACACATCCCAATTGCCTTTAATTTACCTATAATTCCTCCATCTACTTCATCAAACTCTTCTCTCATAGCTTCTCCTCCGCAAGTGTCCAAGACTTTTTCATCCGTACCTCCTAACGCGAGGTTTTCGACCGCGTTTCCCTCCGGGCTCCCTTTATAACTCTCTGTTACAATCTCGGAAGTATCACTGACCCGTGGGGTGCTTGCCTTGCTCCGAGGGGACTCCGGTATTGGGCTCAAGATAGTGTGTTTTCCTTTAAGCGTCCGACTGTTAAAAGGCCGAAACGTAGAAAGATAGTCCATTGACAAGGTAGGGGGTACCGGCACATCCTCCGGCATTTCAAAACCCCCCTGGGAAATAGTCTTAAGTCCAAGCTCTTCCCTGACTTCCCTTTGCTGTACAGTTATCATTTTCACGTCGTCTTTCTTCTTTCCTTTGCCTTTCTTCTTCCCTCCCTTGCCGTTGCTTTCCTGGCCTTTGCTTTTAGTTTTAGGTTTGCCACTTTTTGAGTTCCCCGATGGTTTTGAGCCTCCTTTCTTACCCTTTCTACCAGCTGTTGGTTTTTTATTCCCAATCCTTGTGTCATCTGCAGGTCCGATAGGAGGGTGAACAGCCGACTTGTTTTCAGGGGGTACAGGTGACGGAAAGGGGTTGATAATCCTCACACTATGAGCGCTAGGCTCCTCTATTCTGGGCGTGGTCCATGCTTGTTTGGGTAGAGTAGCATCTAACGATGAATTCAAAGCCGAATTCTCCGTATACCCTTCATCAAGCGCCTCTCGTTCATAAACCTCACCAAAGCCTTTACCACTGCCATCACCATTCTGTCTTCCATCATTGCTTAACAATGCTGTAGTACTCTCTTGATTTGCAGGATTATAAACATCAGGTTCCGAAAAAGATTTGAGAGTTATGTCGGTTTCTTTCCTTGCCTTAAATTTACTTTTAGACGGAGAGAAAACGGGCGTAGAAGAAGAAGCAGAAGCAGAGATATCTCCTGGTCGAGTGGCAAGCGTGGAATCTACCAATGAGCTTGCTTCACCAACAGTCTTTATAACATCCACAGATGCAGAACTAGTCCTTGATGCCGCGATGTCAATTGAATGGTTTGAAGACGAGGACGTATCAGTTTTACTTGATTGTTCAGCAGGAAATGATGAAGTAAGCAAGTCCTTCTTCACAATTGTACAAGAGCAAACGCCTGTAGTATTATCACATACACACGAAACGTTAAAACCTGTCATGTCTGAAGGAAACGAATGAAGCCGCGGTTGAGAAGATGCTGAAGCCTTACTAGAAGCATTTGCCAACACAACCGCTTTGTTTTCATGTTCCATAACAGAAGTTGAGTTCCTTTTTGTTTGATTTTCCGCCTCGTTGTCTGACATCTGATGAATTTTGCACTGTTCTTTAGTTTCATCATTAGATTTCTGAAAGATAGTCCATTGACAAGGTAGGGGGTACCGGCACATCCTCCGGCATTTCAAAACCCCCCTGGGAAATAGTCTTAAGTCCAAGCTCTTCCCTGACTTCCCTTTGCTGTACAGTTATCATTTTCGTGTCGTCTTTCTTCTTTCCTTTGCCTTTCTTCTTCCCGCCCTTGCCGTTGTTTTCCTGGCCTTTGCTTTTCGTTTTAGGTTTGCCACTCTTAGAGTTCCCCGATGGTTTTGAGCCTCCTTTCTTACCCTTTCTACCTGCTGTTGGTCTTTTATTCCCAATCCTTGTTTCATCTGCGGGTCCGATAGGAGGGTGTACAGCGGACTTGTTTTCAGGGGGTACAGGTGACGGAAAGGGGGTGATAATCCTCACACTATGTGCGCTAGTCTCCTCTACTCTGGGCGTGGTCCATGCTTGTTTGGGTAGACTAGCATCTAAAGATGAATTTAAAACCGAATTCTCTGTATAACCTTCATCAAGCACCTCTCGTTCAAAAACCTCACCAAAGCCTTTATCATTACTATCACCATTCTGTCTTCTATCATTGCTTAACGATGCTGTAGTGCTCTCTTGATTTGCCGGATTATAAACATCAGTTTCCGAAAAAGATTTGAGAGTTATGTCGGTTTCTTTCCTTGCCTTAAATTTACTTGTAGACGGAGAGAAAACGGGCGTAGAAGAAGAAGCAGAAGCAGAGATATCTCCTGGTCGAGTGGCAAGCGTGGAATCTACCAATGAGCTTGCTTCACCAACAGTCTTTACAACATCCACTGATGCAGAACTAGTCCTTAATGCCGCGATGTCAATTGAATGGTTTGAAGACGAGGACGTATCGGTTTTACTTGATTGTTCAGCAGGAAATGATGAAGTAAGTAAGTCCTTCTTCACAATTGTACAAGAGCAAACGCCTGTAGTATTATCACATACACACGAAACGTTGAAACCTGTCATGTCTGAAGGAAACGAATGAAGCCGCGGTTGAGAAGATGCTGAAGCCTTACTAGAACCATTTGCCAACACAACCGCTTTGTTTTCATGTTCCATAACAGAAGTTGAGTTCCTTTTTGTTTGATTTTCCGCCTCGTTGTCTGACATCTGATGAATTTTGCACTGTTCTTTAGTTTCATCATTAGATTTCTTTCTGCTGTCTGTTTTCGTGGCTTCATCTCCACTTTCGCCTTTCAAAGTTTTTAATGCCGAAGCTTTTCTCTTATCGGTAAAAGGAATCCAGAAAACATCTTCACTTGATCTACGACGAGGTTGACAAGTCTTACAAAACTCTTTACCCGGAGACGACTCGTTGGAGTCTCTCCGTCCCGCGCGTTTTTCCTTGGGAAGGGATTCACCGCACAACGAACAGTTACCCGAGGCAAGAGCCTCTAAGTTCTCAAGGTCGATGTAAAATTGTGTCCCGTTTGATGATGAATCCCTTTTCATTTTCTCACTGGATTCTGTGTTATTATCACTGCTACTATCACCCGCGGGAATCCAAAACATGGAGCGTGGAACTGACGTAAAGGTTTCTGTCATATTGCCTCCCTCGGCAGTAAGCGTCTGGTTAGATTCCAGTTCTCCTTCTCCTTGGCTTGTATTAGACGCACGTGAAGACCCACGGGGGGAGGGTGGTGGCGGCGAGACTTCCCCGGCTGAAACTACTCCGCCTCGAAGAACGTTGTTTCTAAGTAGATCTGAGAAATAATAAATATATAAATAGACGAAATGAATAAATGAATAAAATGAATATAACGAAAAAGTAGCAAAAAGTTACAGAGGACAGGGTTTGGGCTAGGCTCAACTCTGAACAACACTTAAAGGCGCTATGAAGCAATTTAGCCAGAACGGGTATTACACAGTAACATAAAACGCCAAGAAAAAGAAGTATTTGCGTACGTACCAAGATCTACGACATCAGCTGCTACAGGTAAGTTGGGTTGCGCTATATCTGGTGAAGTGATGGATCTCAACTCTGGGGTCAGTACTCGGTTCACTCCCAAAGGAGGCACTCGTGACGGTACAGCTACTCGGGGACTTGGGACCTGACTGGTCGATGACGATCTTAGTCGCAAGTCCTTCTCAGGTGTTCCTGGTGGAGAGATCTTGCGTTGATACGTGAGGACTGGGCTTGAAAGTCTATGACGAATGCGATGATTAGGCGGAAGAGGTAAATGGTAGGGACGGTTTTTATTCCGCGACTCTGGTTTTTCTCCACGTAAATTTCTAAGAAAAGAAAAGCAGGAACTTAAACAGAGCAAAAAGGTCTATACACTTTAACAAGGAATAACAGGGGAGCACAATACAGTCAATCCTTTCAAACACGAAGCTACATTAAGTGGGTACCCTCCATGATGTTGTCACATCCTTAAGACCCGGAAACTTAATTACTCCTCAAAGATGGGGTTTGACTGTTTAGTTACTCTGTCTTTATAAAGGGTTGTGTCCCGCCTGTCACTTGATAGAAGGGTATGTCCAAGAGAAACAAACAAAAACAACACAACACACTAGATGCCGACTGGCTAAAATGCTTCAACACATGAGATAAGAGAAAATATCTTCTATTTACCTGACATATCTTAGCTCGATGTTGAGAACAGACAAACTTGGCAAGGCCCCTGAAGTCACTTGGGCATCTCTTTCACTTGAAACTGAAATTACCAACAGCAAATAGTTCTAAAAGCTCGCTATTAGGACAATCTTTCCTCAAACAATTAACAAAGCTTCGCCATCAAGAAAAACACGTTTGTATTTTATTGAAATACGGAACTCACCCAGAAATTGTTCCCTGGACTGCTCTCGGAAAACTAAACCAGAAGAAGACCGGGAACCTGGGTTCGAGTTTGTTGTGGAAACTGATGGAATTCTTGGCATGCGAACATCAGAAATCTTTCTTGAGGGAAGAATGTTTTTCCTGGTAAAAAAAACAAGCAACAATTGCCCGAGCATAATATAAGTAAGGCAGTATCATTGACACCAAACCGAGCATTATTAGTATGAAATCAAGGATAGTTTTACGCGTGCCTACTTCCTTTTCCGTCGCGCGTGGAACAAAAACTGTAGACGTTTGTACACAGACTAGGAAGCCTGCGAAACTTGCGTAACTTTTATAAATTCGGCTCAGGTTATTGCGATGCACAACGATAGCGTTATTCGCCTGTCTCGTCGCTCGTTCTCTGCGCTCTCCTAGAATATGCAATAATAATAATAATAATAATGCGGCTGTTCTGCATGCTATCACTATACATACCTTTCTTCAAGTGCGGAAAAGTCTCGTAATGAATTTTGAGACGACCTTTTTTTAACACTTTCTGTGGAAAACAAGAGAACGAACGATTCAAACCTTCAAAGAGAAAATATCACAAGTTATAACTGCACCCAATAAATCTAGATAAGAGTAAGAGTTTAGAAAAGCGCATATATATAATTTGGATCTTTTGCAACTTTTCTTTTCTTTTTTCACTTACTTTCTACTTCTTGGAGTGGGGCAGTGTTGAGTCGAGTAATAGTAGATTCCTATAAAATAAGGACAATCAATGTTGTCAAGATCATGTGACCACTCTTGAGACCAAAGAAAATCATTGTTGGAAATAGGATGCAGAGGAGCTAACAATAGAGACCTTTAGATTCTCAGAAGCGGACGACTACGAGCACGAGATTTTCTAAACTCTATATAAGTAGTGCGCGAGCGTGAACTAGTGTCAATTTCCCGGAAAAAAGCGATAGCCGCCGTCATTCTAAAAAGGAATTTTAAGGCGAAGACGTCTCTATCGCGACATTTTTTCCAACTCGCCTACTTTGTCAAATACAAGCGAAATCTTCTAGAGCTGAATTTATAAGAACCATAACCAATTTCACTTCCTGCATAAAACGTGAAACTAGACATTTTCACATCGTAGTCGTGCAGTGACGGCAAAGAAATGTACAAAAGAGCGTTCTGCACGTGCAGAGTTGTTGTTTTACCTGTTCAACCAATACTTTTTTGACGTTCACGTTGCTGTTTCTGTCGTGTCATCTTAGGCCTTAGACCTCGCTTAGACGGGTCGGGACAATTTTCTTACCTGTGTGACCCCGTTTACACGGAAACGAGCAAATTAACACACTTTCTCGGTCAAAAAATCTGCACGGTTCCGTAGGTCTCGTGTAAAGGAAAGGCGGATCCGTGCAAGTTTTTGCCCGTTCAAAAATTTGTCCAGACCCGTGTAAACGGGGTCTTTAACTTCCTAATGTCGTATTGGAGGGAAACAAGTTTTCAAAAGTTGAAACTTTTATCATTCGCGATCAGTAGAGGGGTTAGCCTCCTTCAATTAGATACTCGTGCTAACTTGTCTGGTGAAAAAGTAAAATGAAGCTTTCCGGGGTTTCTGTTTTTGGAGAATACGCGAAAAAACCTCGTCAATTCTCGTCCGGTAGTTGTCTTGTCCAGCTCGAATCTAAAAGCTTCTAATAAAAACTGCTTGTAAGAACCACCTCAGAGACTTGCTGTGTTACTGCAGTCTGGGTGTTTGGCTCAGTCAGGTCTTTTTGATCAGCAGGTTGCACAGGAGCTGTTTAAAATAAAACATTTATGGTTTATGCCATGTACAAGAAGGACAACAAGGATGATCTAGTGATAACGATTACAATAACTTGCTGATGAAAAATTTATTCCAGATATTTGCCATCCTTTTTAATTTGTTTATTTCCTTCATTGCCGCATCTACAAAGCATACAAGTACTTTACCTGAAAAGATTCTCTTTGATTTAAAATATTTGGTTTGTTCTGCCCAAGCATCTACAAGTAAAAAAGCAAATTTTTACCAGGGAGCAGACTGTATGAAACTAAAATTCATGAATACATATAAATAAAACACCATTATATGACCAAACACTGAAAGCCCAGAAGAAAATAAATAAGAAAAAAAATTGACAAAAATTAAAGCTCTCTCAAATAACAGTCCATTTAAGAAGAAGTTACATGTTGTCTTGTAAGGTAGGTTTTTATGACATACTGTATCAAAGTATATCAACACACCTCTAAGCACTGTCTGTACTTTTCTTCCTCTTGCTACATCTACGGGTGAGAGACCTAAATAAAAAGAAAAAACAAAACAGAAACATTATTAGTACCAGTACTCCTACACATGTACTAATAATAATCATCAGCATTGGATTAATTGGCAAGGCAAAGTTTCAAATCCACCAATGTCTTGTGTAGATCTAAGTACCATACATTATTACATTAACCATTAGCCCACCACGTCACACATCCACCCATTACACACAGTACAGCTGAAAGGCAAGTTACCAGTCTCCTTTCATTTCTCGCCAGACACGCGGAGACAAGACAAGTATCTCATCTTGAGAGAAGAGAGTCTGACATCTCGAGGGAATCACTGAAGCGACAATTTTGCATTAAATTACAAGTGAAACTCAATTTCCCTGATTTCTGCACACACAGCTGTACATACCATTGTCATCAGTGATTGTCACATCAGCACCATGATCCAGCAAGGTTCCAGATGATTTTTCATATCCATGGGAAGCCTGTTCAATAAAATGAATTTATTAAAAGTTTACGTATTAGTAAACACTGAGGCAGAATTCTTCTGGCTACATTCAGATATCCATTTTTTGTTAAACCAGTCAATACAGATCATAACTCGAAAATACTATGTTGACATTTTATTTTGCTGGAGATTTTTTCTAAGTGAAAAAATATTTTCTTGGTGCTGGCAGGGTTTAGGGTAATCACAAGGAGTGATATTCCCAATGTGTAGCCTGCAACATTCCATTGGAACACATTTCCCTTTAGCAAACTCATGACTGTATTTTAAACCAAAAATTCTGCTGGATAAAAGTTATCCAAACCTATTGAGTTTGAACGATTTTTCTGTGGGTGGCTGACGTTCACAAGATGTTAATTCTCTCATTGGTTTCTCATGTTTTTCCTTTTTAACTGGATTTTTTTTCAAATCATAATAAACACAATTCAAAAGGCAACAGCTATACCCTAGTAATTGTACCATACACACAACCCTCACTTACAGCTATATGGAGAGGAGTCTTTCCAACATAACCTTTAGCATTAACATTAGCTCCCCCCTTGATAAGAGCCAATAGAATAGGCTGATTGTCTTCTTTGGTTGCCCAGTGCAGGGGGGAGTTGCTAAACCTGTCTGGTACATCTGCAAACCAGTAACATATGCAATTAATAATAATTTCAGTCAAATTATCCACAGGTACAGTTGTAAGCCTTTAGAACATATCAATGTTTCCAGCATGTACAGAACCTTAATTGGAAACTCTCTCTAAAATAAAATAAAAAATCTAATTGTACTGACTCAAGCATTTTTAATGTTCAAAAAATGCCTGATTTAAGGGTAACTATAAATTAAGCATGTGACATGCATATAGGAATTTCTAACAACAACTGAAAACTGAAGAAGCTCTTGACTGCATGCACCTTGTGCATTGTCACATTAGTCTCTAAAAATGCTACCATCCCCCACCCCCAAAGTGCCCCTCTCCGACCCTGGGAGTAAAACTCACCAATATCACTTGACGCCTTTTCAATGAGCATCTCAACAACATTCTTAGCATGGCTTCCTTTACAGTGCGCTGCTAAATGAAGTGGCCTCTTCCCCTCAGTGTCTCTAGCTCCACAGTCACTGCAGGAACCAAAAGTTCACCAAAATTAATACAAACCATATTAAATCAGCCCTAGAAAGCAACAGAATTTAAAGAAATTTTTCAAGTCTGGTGGCAAAGTTATATTTTACAACTTACGCATTGTGTTGAAGCAACTCTTTGACCACCTCTGCTGGATGGTAACCATTATTCAGAACAGCTTTCTCAACTACAAGTGTAATCATGATCATAAAATACTTAGTAATAACAAAATATTACACTGTATATCATGGCAAAAATTATATTATAATATGATCAAATGTTTTTTCATCTCAGAACTTGAACTAATAAGGTCAGAAAACTGGGATACCTTGCAGAAAATATTATTTATTTTTTAAGATAGTTATATTACATCTTTATGGCTACAATACTACACGCACTCTGATTGGCATTTTCAAGAGAAAGGAAATTTAGTTCACGTTAGTGGGGAATTCGAGTAATCAAAGTTCAAGTTCTACTGTACTGATAATAAATCACATACTTTTCTCAAAGAGGTTTAAATCCCTGGTAACTAGAAGCAAAGGAGTCAAGCCATCAGCATTCTTACAGTTTACGTCCAACATGGCTGATCTTGATTTTGAAGCCTGAAACATAAGTTGAGATGACTTTGCCTTACTGAACACAATCACGCTGAAAGCACATTCAATAGTTAAGAACAACTTGAAACCTGTAAGGGTGAGAATCTTTAATACAAGAATTATTGGTCCCTTACTAGTAACTTCTTTACAAGCTGTGAATTTCCTTGCCAAGCAGCCTGTAGTAAATGACGCGAGGAATACCCTGTACACAAAGTAAGATAATATTATTTAAACAAGCAGTGTAATGATACATGGAACTACTCATTTATGTGACAATATATAGTGGTTAGTCAGTAGAATTTCTCCATTGACTCTGAACTGATAACTCTTGTGAAAGACAATTATGAAATGACACTGTAAACTGACTCTTGCAAAACTGTACGTCTATCACAATATTTAATAATTAATTGCCACAACAGTACAGTAATACAACCCATTTTTAAATGTATAATTATGAAGTCACACTATATAAAACAATCTTACTTTACATTTACATGTAGCAGATATTGAACTAAACAAATCCAACTGAACTAACCTTGGCGTGCTACAGAACCTGAAAGTCAATAAAAACATCATAATTACATTTCTATTTAACCCACGAATTTTCATTCAATAATAGCATTAAAACCATTAAAACTAAGCTTACCTTGTACATTACTCAAGCAAGAGGGAATTTCAAAAGACCAATTTTAATATATTAAAATTCATACTTCGCTACAAGGCTTAAGCTTGAGGAAATAGGGTACTGTGAGGGTGCAAAGAAAGTCAGTATTACAGCCTGCCATTCGGGCAAGCTGTAGCTAGCATGTACTAGCCCACAAGTCATTTCAACTAACCCAGACCCTTTTTGATTAGCAGGATTGATTACAATCTTTCTGTAATTTGAATTTCCTCCAAAAACAGTACTTGCCCATCGGGCAAGTTAAAAACAAAAATCACTAGCCCTGGAGCAAAATCCACTAGTCCCGGGCTATCGGACACGACTTTCTTTGCACACTAGCTGACTGTGGGCATTCACTATCTATTGTCCACTGTCTTCCTCGCCCACGCCACCTCCAACCAAAAAGATGTTTTAGACTATTTAACATACCTAGAAGAAGTGGTCTCATTGAGTCTGGGGCAAAATCCAAAACTGACTGTCCTTTGCTGTTACACAGAGTTATGTCAGCTCCATAGTTCAATAACAATGACACCACCTATACATCAGAAGCATAAAGGAAAACTATTGTTTTTTTTTTCTTTTTTGTTCTCCTTGGAAGTGAATCAAAAACTCCATAAGTCAGAATGTTCAAGCTGAGACCCTACAACAGACTTTCATGTGAAAAATAAATAAATAATTATTATAATAATAATGATCATGATAATAATAAAAATAGCATAATGATGAAGAATAAAAAATTTTAAAGGCAATGCGATTGTTCACTGAAACAAAACTGCTACATTATTAGTCAGAGTTTGAACATGCTTAATACAATATTAGTACGTGTAATCAAATGGTGACGAGTGAAATTAGGGAATAATTTCACACGCATTTTGTCCAAAGCCTAATAATTTCCCGAGCCTTTTTTTTTGGACAAAACGCAGGTTAAATTATTCCCTAATTTCACGAGTATACCATTTGATTACCTATTAATATCATGGGTGACGAATTACGTTAGCAATTGAGGATTTTTGACTTATTTATGCTGGATCGTATCGATCAATCGTGACTCCACTCTCTCAAACCTTTAGAGCTGAAATTTGGCTTAAGTTTTCAGAATTTTTCGACAACATACCTCTAAGAATCCTTCTTGATGTGCTCTTTCGGGTGTTCAGGTGTTCTAAAGCGTCTTTTTATGCCCTGACATCTTCATTCATGACATTTTAAAACTTTGTCACCATCTTGACACTGAGACGTACGGCAGGTTGCCATGGCAATTTAGTAATTTCGCATGTGAAATTACAAATTAATGCTGAAATTTCGCGCCAAAATTAAGGAGTAATTCGTCACCTATGATATTAGTAAAAGAAGTCCATTGTGGCACACAACACTTAAGTGTGTGCGTGTCCTGGGGCATGTTGCATTTTAATAAATTTATGTCAGGTCAAACTTCTTAAGACTGATGTTAAGCCCAGTCAAGCTCATTATTCTAACGCCAGACCTAAGTCCCAGTTCTTCAGTCTGCTGCCTTAAGTTATAGTTTGTAGCCTACAATGAACAATTGTGTTCTCAAAAACTAGCAATTCACATCCCTGCCACAAACAAATTATTTAGTACTATCCATCAGATAAAAAACTATGCACTGTGGTTAAGTATTAGGGTAGACCAATTGCACTATCCAGTGGATAGAGATTTATCTGGCTGCATTGGATAGCATTATCCATCTTTTGAACAACTGGAGCCTGGTCCCAGTTGTTCAAAAGCTGGATAGCACTATCCACCGGATAAATCACTATCCAGTGGATTAGGAAAANTGATGTGCTCTTTCGGGTGTTCAGGTGTTCTAAAGCGTCTTTTTATGCCCTGACATCTTCATTCATGACATTTTAAAACTTTGTCACCATCTTGACACTGAGACGTACGGCAGGTTGCCATGGCAATTTAGTAATTTCGCATGTGAAATTACAAATTAATGCTGAAATTTCGCGCCAAAATTAAGGAGTAATTCGTCACCTATGATATTAGTAAAAGAAGTCCATTGTGGCACACAACACTTAAGTGTGTGCGTGTCCTGGGGCATGTTGCATTTTAATAAATTTATGTCAGGTCAAACTTCTTAAGACTGATGTTAAGCCCAGTCAAGCTCATTATTCTAACGCCAGACCTAAGTCCCAGTTCTTCAGTCTGCTGCCTTAAGTTATAGTTTGTAGCCTACAATGAACAATTGTGTTCTCAAAAACTAGCAATTCACATCCCTGCCACAAACAAATTATTTAGTACTATCCATCAGATAAAAAACTATGCACTGTGGTTAAGTATTAGGGTAGACCAATTGCACTATCCAGTGGATAGAGATTTATCTGGCTGCATTGGATAGCATTATCCATCTTTTGAACAACTGGAGCCTGGTCCCAGTTGTTCAAAAGCTGGATAGCACTATCCACCGGATAAATCACTATCCAGTGGATTAGGAAAACCAATTGCGTTATCCTGTGGATAGAGATTTATCCAATGGATAGCGCATCCACCAGGCCCCAGTTGTTCAAAAGGTGGATAGCACTATCCAGTGGGTAAATCTCTATCCAGTGGATAGTGCAATTGGTGTCCCTAATACTTATCCGCTGGATGTAGTGATTTATCCAGTGGATAGCGCTATCCAAAATTTGAACAACCGGGGCCAGATAAATTACTCTCCTGTGGATAGAAATTTATCCGATGGATAGCCCTATCCACCGGATAAGTAATATGAAGACCAATTGCATTATCCACTGGATAGCACTATCCACCTTTTGAAAAACTGGGGCCTGTTGGATAGCGCTACCCACTCTGCGTTTTGAACAACTGGAGCCAGTATAAATGGCGCTAATAATCTCGAATTTCATCACCTTTTCGTGCTTGTTCACTGCTGCTAACATGACTGCAGTGTAACCGCCTTTGTCTTTAGCATCCACGTCGACAGACTGAGTTTAAAACAGATACACAAAACAAGCAATTTTACAATACATTGTACTTAGACACTTATTCATTAACGAGCACCTTGAATGTAAAATTTACAAATGCTTGCAAAAGTTTAATTTAGATTAAGCTGGAGTAACAAATACCCTAGGTGTTATTTATCCTTCCATTGTTAGTGGCCTAGATTTCTATTTTATTTCTGAATGTATAGTATTGCAAGCTTACTTTACGTGTATTAACTTACGCTGTTTCTTGACGTTCGAGCCAGAAAGTTTTGAACTCGTTCATAGTCACCATTCTGTATTTAAAAAGGTGGAATTAGAGTTAGTCAGATCAAAAGTTTCATACAAAGTAAAAGTACAGATAACGAAGCAGCAAACTAAAAGTAATTACGCTAAACGGAAGCGTTACATGATCACTACAGCTGAAACCTCACCTTAGCAGCATTCAGGAAAAGCTCGTTCAAATAGTCGTCGGCCCTTGAAAAATGAGGCAACATCATAAAAAAAACAAGGAAGTTAGTTAAGATCCGATAAGAGCAGCAAACACAGCAATAGGAAATCCAGATAAATTAGGCAATATCTGATGCACCTTCCATCGTTAAAAAGCCGTAAAGTAGTTTCGTGGTAATGCCTCATAAAGTTCTTGTTTCGTTGAACTCCTCGCAGCGAACAATGTCTCTCAGACAAGTGTCCCTTCGTCATTACAGCGATTGCTAGCGATAAATGTTAACCGCGGTTTGCTCTGAATCCATTGGTGGGAAACCAGCGTGAAAAGAGGCGCTTTTCCCTAATTAATAACCTGGTATTTTTATCTTGCAAACAACAAAAAAATTGCCTTTCGCTTGGGCTTGAAAATAATTTTCCCATAATTCAACTGTTTATTTTTCTTCACCACCATGGAGATAGCCAATCACAGAGCAGTATTTCAGTAGCTGTTTTGGGTTACGTCATTTCGCGGGAAATAACCGTGAAGCGCTACAATATACTATCAATTCAAATTGAAATTTTGCTTTTCTTGTCGACTAGTTATTTTTAGGGCAAACCTGTATTGGACGAGTTTACTTGTAAAGTGATGAAACTTTGTAAAAAAAAAAAAAGGCCGCATCGTAAAAATTAGAAACTTGGGAAAACCGCCGTCCGCGCTTCAGCGAACGAGGACGTTATCCCCAGTTCTCCCTCCGTGCTTGCCCGATTGTTCACGCACTTAAAGTGGGGGCATTCTCTCTTGACTTTTGTTGTACAAAACCTTCAGGCTGGATTATGCCCGAGTAGATATAGCCGAGATGGCAATAATATTTTGTTTTGTAAAGTATGTAATTATATCCCCACGTAAGGCTCAAAAATGGGAGAAAAANTAAAAAGCCGTAAAGTAGTTTCGTGGTAATGCCTCATAAAGTTCTTGTTTCGTTGAACTCCTCGCAGCGAACAATGTCTCTCAGACAAGTGTCCCTTCGTCATTACAGCGATTGCTAGCGATAAATGTTAACCGCGGTTTGCTCTGAATCCATTGGTGGGAAACCAGCGTGAAAAGAGGCGCTTTTCCCTAATTAATAACCTGGTATTTTTATCTTGCAAACAACAAAAAAATTGCCTTTCGCTTGGGCTTGAAAATAATTTTCCCATAATTCAACTGTTTATTTTTCTTCACCACCATGGAGATAGCCAATCACAGAGCAGTATTTCAGTAGCTGTTTTGGGTTACGTCATTTCGCGGGAAATAACCGTGAAGCGCTACAATATACTATCAATTCAAATTGAAATTTTGCTTTTCTTGTCGACTAGTTATTTTTAGGGCAAACCTGTATTGGACGAGTTTACTTGTAAAGTGATGAAACTTTGTAAAAAAAAAAAAAGGCCGCATCGTAAAAATTAGAAACTTGGGAAAACCGCCGTCCGCGCTTCAGCGAACGAGGACGTTATCCCCAGTTCTCCCTCCGTGCTTGCCCGATTGTTCACGCACTTAAAGTGGGGGCATTCTCTCTTGACTTTTGTTGTACAAAACCTTCAGGCTGGATTATGCCCGAGTAGATATAGCCGAGATGGCAATAATATTTTGTTTTGTAAAGTATGTAATTATATCCCCACGTAAGGCTCAAAAATGGGCGAAAAATCGTTTGATGAACTTCACCTCCTCACATGTAAACAAACTGGTTCCCAACTTCTAAACGTGACTTATCCTACCTCCGCTCCCAGTGTATAAATAAACATCATACACTTATTGAAATTAAATATTGTTCTCTACAGTGTTGACAATTACGGCTGGAAAATTACTTAGAAGTGAAAATTTGCATGACAAATCTACTATTTTATCAATTTACACCTCGAGACGGATCATATGCATAAATTACTAGCTTATACAAATCTAACCAGACCGTATTTCCTTTTTAAAACCTTAATTTGTCCACTTATGTTCCAAAATACAGTAACTTTTATTGGATTCTGTGCCAATTCATAACAGTTGCAGAAACTGTTAAGAATTTATCTAACAGAGTTGAGTCAAGGTAATTGCACTTCTAGATCGCGTGATGACGAAAGTTAGTAGATGTTTATTACGTGCCTTCATTAAAGAATGCTGTATCACGTTCTGAAGTGGAAAACACGAAAAAAGAACCTATATTTTAAAAATATTTTATTACTGAATAAAAAATGTAACATAAACTTATACAACTTTTATCAGCTTCTTTTAGTGGGTTACAGTTTGAGAGTAAGAAACAAGTGTTTATAAAATTCACGGCTCGAGGTCTGGCGTAAGTTCTGAATTAGCTTGAATTGAGCACTTCAGTGTCCAAGTCACGCAAACAAACAACCAACCGAACTGAAATAAAAATGTAACAAATTTGTACGGGATTTAGCCGATTATCAACGGATAAAGTTCTAGACAATGTAAGTTTCCCGCCTCTTGATGAAAATAATAGATTTGTACACTGACATTTAACAAATCTTATAACCCTTTCTTGTCAAACGTACATGTAAAGCAGTCAAGAGAGAACAGAATCATATTGTTGTATTTTGTTGGTGAAAGTCGAGTTTTCAACTTTGTTATTAATAGGATTTGCTCTCACTTCACGATTTTCAGCCGGAACAAACAGTTCAAGTGTTAAGTAAACTCTAAGAACATTTTTCAACTTTAGATTACTTACGTTCTAAGTGGCACTGGGTTATGTAAAGTGAAAGACGGCATGATATATACCACCGGGTCACATACACGGAACTGAATGTGATGTCAACGGCCTCAAAAAGATTTCCAACAGCTTTTAACACTTGTCCCCTGTCGTTTCTTACACTGCAGTTCACGTGCGAACTTTGTATCATGAGAAGGGTCAACCTCCTCTTTCAATCTGCACACGAAAAATAATCTCTTGATTGTTAATACGTAGTATAACTATTGAAGTTGACGACGATTGGAAGGTTTCGCATGAGGGCGTCTAATAGATCAATTTAGACATAAAAGGGGTTATGATTTGCATTAGATCAGTTAGCCTGATTCTCAGACGTACGAGGTCGGTCGCGGTCCCTTTCGCTTCCCTGAGAGGGAGGGAAGCGAAAGGGACCGCGACCGACCTCGTACGTCTGAGAATCAGGCTATAGATCAGTCAGACAGCTCACGACATCAATATGGGCTAAACACACAAAACAAACCAAAACGAAATCAGGTGTCGTGACCAGAAGAACACTTCTGAGCCTCTGAATGGTTATAATTAAGTCCTACCGACGAAATCTAAGTCGCGACGATCGCCATTGATAAAGCGACGATGCAAATTTCCCTTTCGGCGTTAACGACCGCTGCCATTTTTCAGCAATGATCGCGACGATCGCATCGCCATTTCAATCAAGTTTGACAACATCAGTGTGCTGTACGTTCAAAGTTTTTGTTTTGCTTATTTTCTTGAACCGTTGTCGTTGTGGTTGCCCTGAACTCGCTAGTAGCGTTACCCCACGGAAAAAATTCTTAATATGCAGTAATAATTACGCCTGAAAAACCGACGCTTTGATGGAAAACGCGCGATGAAACAGATTTCCGCGGGTACCCATACAGACGCAATTCTTGATTACGAGACGCGCGAGGAGGCGACTAAAGCAACGACAACGGTAGAAGCAACGAAAATGTCAAAAAAGCATCAAAACAACACCTCTGCAAGTGCAGCACACTTTTTTTGTACATTTCTTTGCCTTCACTACGAGACTACCATGTGAAAATCCCTAAAGCGACGTTTTATGGAGGACGATGAATTTTCTTTCTCCTACTGGACTTGAGTTCAATCCCCAAGAATTCAATTTGAATACGGGGTATGGTCCCGAGGAATTCAACGCCAGAAAGTTCGCCTATATTTGACCAAGTGATAGAGCTGGAGTAATCGCGATGAAAATTGAAAGAAAGCAAATTCACTTCTATGTGGCATTTTCGTTGCCTTCGCCGGTCCCAATAAGAGAGAGCTAAAGCAACGACGACGGCGAAGGCAACGAGAACGACAAAAAATGGTTGGAAAAAAACAATAACTTTGCTCGTGCATCACGCTTTTTTGTACATTTCTTTGCCGTCACTGCACGACAGACGTGAAACGTCCTATGATAATTTCAAGTTTTATAGTGGACGTCAACAAAAGGCAAAGATTTTCTTCTTCTTTTCATGAACTTAGAACTTACAGTCCTTTAGAATTCAACTCCTGAAAAAATCGCCAACATTTGACAAATAAAAAGAGATGGAATAAGAGCGATGACGTTTGAAGCAGCGCGAATTCACTTTTTCGGAGAAGTTTTTGCTGCCGTTGCCGTCGTCCCTACGATCGGGACCTTACGATCCGACAACAGCGACGTCTATGAAAACGTCGCTGAAAAACAGACTCCGCATCATTTTAAACATTTTCGCGATTATCCCATTACGCCCTGTTACTTAAAAGAAGGGCATTTTGGCCGGAGCTGACGAGAGGGGAACGCGCTCAAGTTCGGACAGAAATGATAGAATTTATCGGCTTGCCGTTCCCGTTCCCAAGTAAACTTAAAATTTGGTCATTTCACGTCGTAGTTGTGCAAGGATTGCAAAGAAATGTACAAAAAAAGCGTGATGCACGTGCAGAATTGTTGTTTTGCTCATTAAACCTATGGCTTTTTTGACGTTCTCGTTGCCGTCGCCGTAGTATTCGTAAGGTCCCTGATCTGACAAAGGCGACGCCAACGAAACCAACGCTGAAAAAAAAAGATTTCGCATCTTTTCAAACCTTTTTGGCGAATATTCCAAGTTGCCTATTTACTCTAAAGAGGGGAAATTAGGTGGGAGCTGAAAAACCTAGGCCGCGTCCTAGTTCAGAGAGAAAGTAACATTTATCACCTTCCCGTTCTCATGAGTTTCGTAAGAACCCTTTAAGGAGAAGCAAAAACATTGCAAAAGTAATCGAACTACAGCCTCCCAACGCAGAAGTTGTTGGGGCTTCGTAACGCGTTCCTACCCCACGAACGTTAGTGGGGCAGGAACTGAGAGTAAAGACCATAAAAACGACAGGCACGAATTGTTCAAGAAACCTCACTAGCTGGTAATGGACCTTTAAGACTTTGAATGTTATTGTAAATAACGAATGAACAACAATTTTTCATTAACTTTACTTTTATGCCCGTTGCTCCTGCCCTTCAAAAATAAAAGATTAGCTTATTCAACTTTTAAAATCTGTTCTTTTCTTTGGTTTCGCCTTGGTCGGCTCTTGTGCTTGAGTCGAACACAATTCCGTCAATTGAGTTTGGCACGGCATAAGCATGACGTTTGAAACTAGCCTTAATCACTCATCCTCTTCATGCAGAGTGGCACATTGGGGCTCGACCAGATTCCTTCATCGCTCTCTAGAGAGTTGTTGCTGCCCTGTCTTTACTCTTAGGGCCTGTTAACATAGAGGTGGGGGACCCCAGGTAGGTGAGGTAACCCTCCTGTCCATATAATCTCTCATTTTACAGTACTTTGATCACGTTTACATGATAGGTGGGGTGACCCGCCACCTGTTACCTCACCTATCTGGGGTCCCCCACCTCAATGTAAACAGGCCCTTAATCACAGACCATACAAATGACGTGAAAATGTTAAAAACTCTGCCGTGAATCAGAGGGGCACATAACTGCGAAGGTGGGTGGCGAGATCAAGATTTTGATATTTTACAAGAGAGAATTCTCTCTTGATTTTATCAGAGGACCCTGTACATACACTTCATTCCAAAATGGCGACAAATTTAGTTACTCTTTTGTCTTCGCGATAATTAGTACTCAATGCCTCCTTTACAAGTTCTTTGGACTTTTACGAATGCAGTCGATGCAAAGACTGTTAATTAACATAAACAAATGATATGACGAATATTGCCATCGCTTTAGAATAAGGCGTATAGCTTGCGCTAAAGTGAAAGGCAACAGACAACAACTTCAGAAATTCATATGTAGCCAAGTGTAGTAATTCAATTTGACGTGTGACAAGCATATACATCTTATTTACAAATTGCAGTGTTCTATTGAAAATAGCAAAAAATTCATTTCATATATTATTCCAAGATAAATTCACTCTAGACAGCACTACACGTCCACAGAGCGATCTAATTCATTCAGTTGCTCTTCTAGTGTTCCTGTTACGCGCCACAGGCGAACCAACCGGTCGCTGAAACACAGAAAAAAGTTGACAGTAAATAAAGTGTTCCATGCTGCTAAAAATCAAATTCATAACTAGAAATANATGTAAACAGGCCCTTAATCACAGACCATACAAATGACGTGAAAATGTTAAAAACTCTGCCGTGAATCAGAGGGGCACATAACTGCGAAGGTGGGTGCCGAGATCAAGATTTTGATATTTTACAAGAGAGAATTTTCTCTTGATTTTATCAGAGGACCCTGTACATACACTTCATTCCAAAATGGCGACAAATTTAGTTACTCTTTTGTCTTCGTGATAATTAGTACTCAATGCCTCTTTACAAGTTCTTTGGACTTTTGCGAATGCAGTCGATGCAAAGAGTGCTAATTAACATAAACAAATGATATGACGAATATTGCCATCGCTTTAGAATAAGGCGTATAGCTTGCGCTAAAGTGAAAGGCAACAGACAACAACTTCAGAAATTCATATGTAGCCAAGTGTAGTAATTCAATTTGACGTGTGACAAGCATATACATCTTATTTACAAATTGCAGTGTTCTATTGAAAATAGCAAAAAATTCATTTCATATATTATTCCAAGATAAATTCACTCTAGACAGCACTACACGTCCACAGAGCGATCTAATTCATTTAGTTGCTCTTCTAGTGTTCCTGTTACGCGCCACAGGCGAACCAACCGGTCGCTGAAACAGAAAAAAGTTGACAGTAAATACAGTGTTCCATGCTGCTGAAAATCAAATTCATAACTAGAAATCGAAATAGTTTTCTTACCTTGATGCTGTGAATACGCAAGAAGAATTCGTACATATAGCGTTAATAGGATGTCTGTGCGCTTTTATTTCACCTGAAAATGAAAAGTCTAGCGTTAACTCTCAAATGTGATTCGAATCAAACTAAAACTCCACATTTGATTTTGAAATCTTCCGTGTCACCCGAAAGAAAAGTATATTACATAAATTTTAATAAAAATAATACCGCATTACCCTTCGGTATATTGAAAGTGTATTAGTTACTGTAGCTTGCAGGGGGTTCAATAAAAATTGAAGTAGACAGCAGGTTTGAATAGAGTAACCGACTATGGCTACCATCAAGTGGACGTTAGTCCCCTTTTCTCTAGGGGGTTTGGGGACGTGTTTCCCCAGAAAATTCTGAAATTTCAAAGCCCTATAATGCGGTTTTCAGTGTTCTGGGGACTAAATTGAGAACAAAAGAACATGTATTTCATTCAAGAAAATGTAGCTTTCATTCAACTTTAGAATAATCAGTCACAATCAATTCCTACAAGCAAAGAACAAATGATGAAAACTAAATTACCTACTTTTGTACGTTGACAAATTCTGCGTAAATCAATAAAAACAAACTTGTGAAAAATTGACTGAAATATAGCATAACGTAAAACCAGTGGGCCCTTACGAAAACATATCATAATTACGTTTTCATTCAGATTTTATAATACATTTTTCTACAACATTATTCAAACTAGTTGCTCCTTCTTTCTAGAAAAAAGTAGCTGACTTCTACGAGCAAAGTAACCGACGCGTTTCGTCGGCCGTCGATGCTTACTGAAACCCCTGCAGCTTGTTTATAGGCACTCGACTCAAATGTAATTCATAAACAAGTATTAAAGCAAGTGAAACATAGCACGATTTAAAGTCCCAAATAGCAGAGGTCAAAAGCATGGTTGAGAAGTCGAATCCGGGATTACTGAAAAGGAGATCCAGCTCACAAAACCGCAGCATCTGTATATTCCAAATTTAGAAAAGGAACTTTATTATTTATCGTTCTAAGACGTGTGATCCTAAAATAAAAGCGAAAAAGAATAATAGAGTACTTACCCACCCCCCCCCCCCCCATCCCCCGCACCCCCGCCAAGAAAAAAAATTAAAATGCAGGAAACAATTTACTTACACACAGGAGACCCATTCTCCACTCGCCACAGCTTGAGCATGCCACCACGACAGCCGCTGAGTAGCACGTTTTGCGGACGCAAGAAATCTAACGCACACACCCAATCCTTATGAGCTCCGGTCATGTGCTAAAAAAGAACCAAAACAAATCGTCACGTGATAGAGAAGACTTTACCCTAACATCTAACTGAAAGTAACTGCGCAGATGTCATTCTTGATGTTTATCTCACAGGCGTATATTAATTCACAGGCTACTTGCGACAAACGGCGGTAGCGAAACGTCCTTAAGCTAAGAAAGTTTATGTCATTTAGTCAGTAAGAATAACTTATTTTCGCCGCACTTTTGAAATGTTCCGCATTCATCATCATCATCATCACCACTGCAGTCAGTAGATTCGACTAAGACTGTTCTAGGGTTATGCATATTTTAATTAGTCTCCTCCATTTAAGTATGTCGTTGGCACTCTCCAGCCAACGGTTGAGATCGATTTCGCACTATTTCACGTTTCTCTTAACAACATCTTTGAATCTTAACCTAGGCCTCCCCGGAGCTGAGAGTATAACAGCTTCTTTGTTAGTCTGTTATTATCCATCCTATGCACGCGAACCAGCCATCTAAGATTTTAACGAGTGCCAAACTCACCTGTACAAGCTGTTGAGTTTCAGTATTCCATTTTTTAATACTATTATCACGTGACCCACTAAATAGATATTTTCCTTTAAGAGCCAACGATTGGACTCCATCATAGTGAGGTGGCTCCAGCTTGCTCTTAGCAGACTGCAAGAAACATGATGATGAGGTCAACTTAGCCTGCAATGCTGGCGTTTTCTTTAGGTTCGCAAGAAGTTTATTCGACCAGGTGACCGCCACGTCACATCCTTATCTCCCCACCCCACCCCACTCCCTCCCAAAAAACCTTTGTTACGGTGCCAATTACACGCAATTTATTATCGAATGATTCTTACAAAAGATAACAGAAATACGGCGTAACATTCCTCGGTGCAAAATCGCTGCACATGTCCACTTCTAAATGATTTTTATCATCCCAATTAATTGGCGGTCACGAGAAGGAAGAGGAACTACCAACCACGAGAGATGCACAAAGGCAACACCTAAGTCGATTATCAAGGTTACTGCATTTCCTCTTTTTAGAGCCAACCTCTTTTAAGCCTATCATCAACCACCCCCCTCCCCCCCCCCCCACACACACACACACCCCACCCACTACATCAACCTCCTTCAATTGCGATAGTGTACAAGATATATTTTAAGTAATGTATCATTTTGTTAAATTGCTCGGATTTTACGATTCTGTATGAAGCCATTCACGCACGAGTAAGACATGGGTACACATCCACGAGTCACTTCAAGACTATGTTAAACACCAGTCAAGGACTAGGGACTGACTCTAATCAGATTCCATACAGTAAAGAAGAAATTCTACTAACCTGTACGCCGACATTAGAGCCATTCAGTTCAAATATCTGTAACACACACACACAACAAATCAGTAATCATTATTCCTCTCTAAAGAACATATTCCTTACAAGAAAAGCAGAAAATGCCGAGAAAAACTGAAAGTCCTTATTTAGATACTTAAATTCACGCCATCGAACAACCACAGTAGAATGACTAGAGAATAAGCTCAAAATAACACATTTTCGACGGACAATAATAGTCCTATCCCTCCGAAATGGTACGTGGTATATTTTTGTACTTTTATTATGGGGTCCATTAACTATCTCACCTTGACGTAATGATCACGTGAGCCCGTAAACACGAGGGATTCTTTATTAGTTTCTTTGAGTAGCACCGTCATAACTGGACCAGCATGGCCACCAAGCTTTCCAGTCATAGTATAACTGGTAAAAAAATAAATAAACACGACTGAAATGCAATTTAATGGGAGCGAAAATGAAAATAAAGAACGATTAAATACACTGACTTCTGCCACAGCGCTCCGTCAATAGGGACTTCTCACTACGGCAAAGGCAGCGAAAAAGTCTTTTGCAAAGTGCATTTGCGTTCTTTCGAACTTCATTGCGACTTTTCGATCTCTCAATTTATCACGTTTAAAGGAATTTTTTTGATAGTGAACATCTAAGAGTCGTGATCAGGTCCAAAAAGGCGAATAAGAAAAATTCGTTGTCGTGCCTTGGGATTACGTCGCATAAGAAAATCTCTCGTCACAGTTGTGCAGTGACGGCAGAAAAGTGTACCAAAAGGCCAGAATTCTTGCTCTGCTTATTAAACCTGTTGCGCTTCTTTGGCGTTTGTTGCCAAGGCTGCATATTAAGCGCTGGTCAATTACCGGGCCAGAAAGCTGTTTTATTTGAATTTCATGTCGAAGTTTCAATAGTTTTGGAGTTAACTTAATAAACTATCAGTTAACAAAACAATATTGACTGGTTTGTCGACTACGGATCGCGCTTTTTATTCTCGGACTTGGATTTTTAATATTTGGCTTCGCCCCCAAAAAGTTACAGAGCTTTGAGAACGGGCCGCAGGTGACTCACCTCTCTAAGTCCCACATTCTGACGGTGGTTCCCATGGCTGCGTAAAGCAGTGAACCATCAGCGGAAAGCTTCAAGTCGTTAATCTGAGTCTCTGACGTCATACTGGACAAAAAGGTACCCAGAGAGGAGCCTGGAGGCGTAAGGCTTTTGATGCACTTACCATCCCTAATGTCCCACACCTAGAGCGACCAAACGGAGTCAGCAGATCAGTGTAAGATCCTGTTGGGCAACAGCTCAGCTACCCTTCCCCTGACCCAACATCACCAGCTCCTTACTACGGGCAAAATGTTGGGTTAGGGAGGGGTGCTACCCTCCAAAGAATCTTAGAATGAGACTAGGGTGCTAAGACGTTTTGACGGCTGGATGGGAGGGGATTGAGTTACAATTTTGATTGTAAAAATTATTCCCGTTTTACAACCCAATCCCCTCCTCATCCAGGGCAGTTTCTAGAATCTTATACTAATCCGAGTTAGTCAAAGACTCATGTGTGATTGGAAAAGGCGGTCGTTATGTCAGCCAACAAACGACCTACTCAACACTAGGGTCCTCAGCAGCTCAGTGGTTAAAGAATTCAACTGATGTCTGGAAGGTCGTTGGTTCAATGCCCATATGGAACTCGGAAGATTTTTTCTGAGTTCTTTTCTCCACACATATCATTCTGCGTATTAAAACTGAAGAGCCAAACGAAGAAAAAAATGAGCGAAGTGTTAGGCGAAATGATTCAAAATACTCAAAACTACTGCCAACATTTGGAACAGAATGTTGCAAAAAAAAACAAGTCTAGCTCTGGCACTGACGAGTTCAGAAATCTGTGAGAGTCGAAACATCTAGTGAAAATCGCTCTCTACTTAGGTACCCACGTTGCATGCATCCCAGTTCAAAAAGATACAATTTTTTCTTCGTTTCCTTTCCCATTTTAGTAGAGAAAAATCATAACAGTTGTGTAATAATTTGATTCGCAGTTTTATGTTTTAAACGTTTAGGACGATACACACTGAATTAAAGGATAAGCAATAGCTAAGCGACGCGCATAAGACACAAGGACACGCGTGCGTCTTCGTCCCTCGCGGTAATCTTCTCATTTGCGCCCTATATTTCTCAGGCGCTTGCTACTAAGGCAAATGCTCAGTCTTTACCTTGATAACGTTCTGTGACGCTCCAAATATACGCTGTGTTTTATGACAGTATCTCACGGCTACCACGTCTCTTTTGTGACCAGCACAAGACAATGTCTCCTCGCCTGTGTTAAGATCCCAGACTTTAACAGTGCGGTCTGTGAAACAGTGTCAGCTTAAGTCAGTATCATTAAGGACACCTTTTAAATCCTTACAAACTCTTTATACAGAAACATGTCACATATTTCTAACTTTCGCGTTTGCACACCTAATGCCATAGTTTGGCCATTCAAAGAATCCTCTGAAGCAATGCTTTTAAATTACACTATTTGTTTTTCGATACAACACAAAGTTAAATTTGGTATTTTTTTTGGAGTAATTTAGTTGTGGTAATACCTCTTTAGGAGAGCCAATTGTGAATACAATGAACTCACCTTTAGATCCGGTAAACATTAAGTCTTCCGTGACGTCGAGCGACAGTACCGCGCTGTTGTGACCCGTCGCGGCGTAAGTACAGACCAGGGAAGCAGGTTTCCCCGCAGGGGGACGAAGTGGGAGCATCCGACCACTACACAGGGAGAGAAAAAAACGTTTTGTATTAACCCTATAATAATATTCTATTGACGCAATTGTTTTTAACCATCACAACATTTCAAGAACAGAGTAACCAACACTGAAAGCGTTTTCTTGGGGCCCACGAGCGTAACAATTTATTCGTTCATGTTCAAAACGAAACTTGGTGTGTGCGATTCAAAAGAGACTAAGACGGAAGTAGGAAGGTAGGGACGAAGGTGCGGGGGTGGTTAAGGGAGGTTTTTACCGTCGACGTTTTTGGACTTTCCAACAAATCTAACTCTGCTTTCAAAAACGGCAGCCACAAAAAAAGCTGAGCTCTCGCTCGTGCGAAGAGTATCAGCCTACACTAAAGACTAGAAACAGAAATCCCGCTGGCCTACAATTTTGTAGAGAAAACCTGATGGCAAAACAAGGAAAAAGTAAACACAAATAACAAATTTTTTTTCATTCGGTCAACTACAACTGAATTGCAGCAAAAATAGGACATTCGTCAGTCGTGCTAAAAGACGTGCCAATGAAACAGACGCACTGACTATTGCTGAAATAGGGGCACCCAACGACCGAATGTTTCCAAATACGCCAGAAGTGTCTCAGATGGTTTCCTCTATGCTTTAGAAGCCTGTTTGGTTAATTTCGAGTTGCCCTAAAAACTTTTTATCTGTTCAGATGTCTTCGGGGAACTTTGGTCGTAACGAAAGTTTTAGGTGGCTTTTTCATCTCATCCGAAAGTGTTAGCTACCCTTATGGGTCTGGTCGAGAGTTTGAGGACATGAAGTAGCCTTGCTTCCATTAGGAGATCATAGGGGACGTTTTGTCTTTATACCGAAAGTTTTAGGAGACCTTTTCTTAACAATGATAGCAATACTTTGGTATTGAAATGTGAATCACACAACCTCCGAAAAACGTAATTAAGCTATTACAAAACCTCCGAACATTTTAGACGCATGGAACGGTTATCCGAAAATTTTTAGCTTTTCTCAAGCTTTAGAAATTTCTAGGCAATATTTGCTCCTTCGAACAGTTATTGTACAGAAAAAAATCGCTAGGTGCCCATGCTGAAAGTCATTTCCTCTTGCGAGATTTGCGTGACCTTGAAAATGTATGTACTTACATGTCAGGGTCGGACTCCTGAGCGAGGCTGCTTGTCAACCGAGCGAACACATCATCGGAGGTCTTCTGCAAAACAGCGCTGTCATCAACCCTAGCAGAATGGAGAAAAGTGTCTTCCGTAAGAAAACCTGTAGACTAGTAAAACAGTAACTTTACTTTAGAATTAGCGACTCTGGCGAAAGAATTGTACAACGTGATCACTGGAGTGTTGTTGATCAAGAGTTGGATAAATACAGGTTGGGAGTAAATGTATCTCATTCTCATTTCACATAGCTAATCTGTGGATACAAGAATCAGTCAGAGTTAATATGATCTATTAGCCAAGTAATAAGACCGGGAACTTTATATTTGACTGCAAGGACGAGATGATTACGAATTAACATCGTTTGCCTTTTATTATTACATAACCGTTGCCGCACCAATCCTATTCCTGACGTTTAATAATGTGCTAGTCAGCAACAGGAAAGCGTAGTTTAGGGATACTATTAGCTCTAAAACTCGTAAACACGTGTTAAGAGTGCTGTTGAGAAAAATCTACTCACTACTATGGTAGAAAAACAAGTCGTCCAATCCAAATTGGCATGAATAAACAAAGAGTGTTATGGGGAAAGCTAACAATGTATGAAGGTATTGAATTTTAATCTGAAAGCACTTTAACAAGTCCACCTTGAGCGTGACAATATTTCAAGGTCTTGCTGCACGGTCGTGTTAAGATTCCACAATTACTTTTCGTTAAGATGGAAACGTTACAACAATAACTTTTTTACTTACCCTGCCCCAGGCCTGTCTGGCAATGACTTCCTCTGCAGAGCAGGCGAGGTGGGCTGGGACCTAGGCATATTCACGACTGAGTTCCCGTATTTGCTGCCAGGAAAACTTCTGGCCGACTTTGATTTAATATTACCACGAACTAATGAGGCAGGAAGCGCTACTGTAGAGCTATCAACGAGAGAGTTGGACCGGGATGACTTGACAGGTCCCCCCTGACTTTGACTCTGTGTGCCTTGGGGTGCAGGAGGGGGCAGCATGAGAGATTCGCAACTCTGAGCCTTGCGAGACTTCTCTAACTCCAATAGTTTCTGCATGAGTTCCGGGGATATCTGACGAGCACCCTTGGGCTCCCCGGCAACCGGAAGAGCAGGTACTAGTGAACGATTTGGCGTTGTAACACCATCTTCCTCGTCCCCGACTGTGTCAAGCAGAGGCGGTCGCCTGGTTTTGATTCTATCCGGGTATAAGAACTCTTCCTGTGTACCAGTGCGACGACGTGCCTACAAAAACATAAAGCACATTCAAAAATTCGAGTCACTATGCTGAAGCATGGGCAGCCATAAAGGACGATACATTCTCTTTTAAACTCTCTACTGCGCATATGTTCTGCGAGAAGGGGTAAACAACCAAATAAACCCAATGAAACAAAAAATGTTGGCTCGGCCGGATGATCCAACCCAATGAATATTTGTAAAAACCTTCAATTAGAGTCTAATTGAAGTTTTTTTACAACTAACCTATTGAGGACGAGGTTCCTTGGCGAGAGAATTTTCAAAGAAAGCGCTTAAGAACGCAACAAAAACTTTCAGCGTACGAGGTTGATATTTACAGCCAAGTCCATCCTCCGCCGAAACTTTTACCATGTTCGAACTCCGTGCGATAATAGGGAGCTTAAGCAACGATGACGACAACGGTAGTGAAAACACCGCTTAAGAATGAATTTACAGTGTCCCAAACCTTACCGCACCTATTTAGACAAGCTCGATTAGTCAGATGTGGCCAATTTTTCCTGCCTTTCAATTCGTAAAGACTGTATCCAGGTTCAAAAAGAGAATTCGTCGTTGCATGTTCACGTCCTCCATAAAACGTCCCGTCGTTGCAGTGGACGTCAAAGAAATGTACTAAAAACCGTAATGCACGTTGTTTTTCCATAAAACCAATTGGTTTCTTTTTTTCGTTTTGTTTGTTTGTTTGTTTGTTTTTTTCACGTTCTCATTGTCGTCGTCATCGTGGTTCTTTAAGCTCCCTAATAGCCTAAGTGACTGGTGTTTCTGGGGGGAAATAGAAAGAGAATTGCCAAAAGGGGAGACAGCGAGGAAAGAGAAACTTCTTCCCTCTTTTTCTCCCTTCCCCGCTTCGTCCTTTGAAATCTCCCCTCCCCTACCCCTCAGGGAAGAGCTGCTGCTCAGCTCATGCAATAAAAGCTAACAGAGCACTTACCTTGTCTTTGGGTTTGGTTGTAGGTACTGGCTGACCTTCCTCACCGGAATCTTTTAATGTATTACCACTGGAACTCCTGTGAGGAGCACATAAATGGTTTTGTTATGAAGCAGGGATATTTTCCACAACAGCGCACGTTCTCGTTGGTCACTTGGAGATCACATGACGTATGAAAATAAAACTGTTTCCCCCCAAAAGTCTCTGAGCGTAACACTTGGCCGCGAGTTGACCGCTCCCTGAGATATATGTTTATAAAACTGTATCCTAGTCTTGACGGTGTTAAAAGCAAGCGGTGATTAGATGTGAGGGTTGGCCGAGTTTAAAAAGGCTTAGAAGGCGGTTTTGTCAAACACCGTTTAAAACCTGTTATGATAACTGGCCCTAGCTGTTTATTATTTTCCCCCTTCTTACTTTACTCTGCTCCTCCGCTCCTTTGTACAATCGAGAACCAACCAGGCTTGTTTAACTTTTTTACACCTAGGAGACGCAGCGTTTTTATTTACTGTTTTTTCAATGGTTGCCTGTTTGTTCGGTTTCAAACTTTCCACAACAACTCTCACAACACGCAACCGGGTGTGCAAATGGACGCAACATGTAACATCCCACAATGTTGGGAGTTGTTCGCCAACAACGTTGCGTTCGTTTGCACGGGGCTTCACGGACAGTTTGTTATGTTCCTGGGGAAAGAAAGCGCTTACAGGTTCCGTGATATCAACCCGCTCAATACGGACACCCGGTTAATACGGACACTTTCTATGGCCCCCTCAACGTCCCTATTAACGGGGTTTGACTGTATTCATTTGCGGCTAATTGTTGAGGTTCAGCATCACGTTTACGTCAAAAGGCAAACGGGAATTTGTACCACGTGACCAAGTTTCCCATTTACTTGTCGTTTACTGTTGATTATTTCTACACATAAATTAGTTGTTTCACGCGATTTTTTATCTATAAGAATTGTTTTGAGTTGTTTTTATCTGCTCAGTTTCTATTTTGAGAAATTCTCAACTTTAGTCTGACGTTTGCCGTTTGCCGCATACGTGAAGCTTAAACTCTCTAATAACTCCGTCTTCAATAATACACCATACCTGGAGAGTGTTCCCGCATCATCCTTGAGTGAGTTCAGTGAATTCAAACTGGTCTACATAGTGAGCAAAAGGAAATTGAAGGTACTTATCAGTAGTGTATTGTGCACAAAGATTTACCCAGCGTCTCTCGACGCAGGTGCTTAAAAGCGTGCGCGACTAGAAAATTTCCTCACACGGACAGCGGCCCGCTCTTCCTGCGATCAAATAGACCTCATTCACGATAATATAAACATAAATAACAAAACAGCAAAGAGAAAAGCAACTTAAGATTTCCCGATATTTTGGACGGACAAGCCGTCCTTCTTCAGGGAATTTAATGGAGAATCGGAAAGTCGTTACAATTCAAATAGTATAGACGAGTAGCAGTTGGAAATTTGATACAGAGGTAATGTAAAAACCTAAATGGGCCAATAATGAGAAACGATTCAGACAAATTAGATAGTTTGGTGACTGGAAAAAACAAATAAATAAATATCATTCACGATACCCGCCATCTTTGCACGCGCTCTAGGATCGATGGGATAAAAGTAATGTCGCGGGGTATTTCACGGGTTATACTACTGCATGAGAAATTACTGCAATTTGATTGGCTTAGAGCAGTGGTATTTCAGCTTAATTTGAAATACCTACATGTGAAAAAACGATAAAATTTGCCAATACGAGTTATTGCGGTCGCGTTTGTTTACTGTGTTAAAACAAGACGACGATTTAGTGGTTACGCAAAATGTACAGCTCGAGTTTCGACAAAATTTACGTCATTGTTGTTTGCTGTAAGTACATCTACGGTCGCTACGACGTCTAAAAAAAGTAACAATGATCACTTTCACCATAATTTCCCATCATCGTCTTTAAGATGAAAAGTTTTTCATTTCTGGTGTTTAGAATAAATTCGACCGCGATTTCTTCCATTGGCAAATGTTTTCACTTGTTTGCCCCTTGAGAAACCACGTGACATCAGTCATTAATCTCGTGCAAAGACGGTGGGTATCGCGAATAAGGTCTATTGCAATTTTATTTTGAATGGATCTGACAACAGAGAAAAAAAATTGTGATTTATAAACGTCTTAAAGAGACTGATATAATTAGAAATAAATGCATTTGAACCTCACAGTGGACTTCGTTTAGTTAGCATATATCGCATAATCGTTTTATTATGTCCACAAATAATGCCACCTACTGTGAGACAGGCTGGGATAAAAGCATTATAGCAATAAAAGATTAATTCTAAAGATATACAGGGTATCCCTCGTTAAGTTACGGCATGTTTTCTGCCAGAAATATTGCCTTAACAAAGACTTGACTGCACTGAATTATAAATAACTTCGCGGATTTCCTACCAGCGATCCTCTCAATCGATCCCTCAGTTCTGAACCACTGATTTCAGAGTCCGTTCCAACAGCCGCGGCGGCGAGATTTTCGATACTGCTGAAGCTGTCATGATATTGCAGCACGTGTTGAAGTAATTCCTGTTGAAGCTCATTGTGTTGCTTCATCGCATTCAACCTCGCTTCCACTTCCTTCGCTGACGCTTCTTTAGAGGAAGCTTCGTGGCCCTGAAAGAAAGGATAACGTTAATACAAGGTAAGCAATTACCAAAGAAGAAAAACAATAGTAGTTAAAAAGTAGAGAAGGCAGCGAATTTTTTCACCCGGTTATGTTGCATTTCAAAACAGTCGAGGGGTTGGGGCGAGTATTGTCTTCAACCTCCCCCTCCCCTGCCCCGCCTTTTTCTTCCACCCGAGCGCCTACCCCAAGGGTTGCTATTTCTACTCTTCTCAATCTTCCTCGGTAATAAAATCAAAGATGGTTACATGTACCACTACACTGTGGAAATAAACAAGCAGCCTTCGCCCTAAACTACAAAACAGCCCGTATTTTTGGGTAGGTCAAGAACGCGCGCGAGCGGTCAAGTGAAAGTGCTCACGCCGGCGATTAGCGCCTTGAAAGACCGATTTTGAGAAAAAAAAAACGGATTGTTTTGCATTCTTCCCTTTTCCTCCCCAAAACACACTGCAAAAATGCGCCTGCATTACAGACTATAAAGCCATTCTAACAAGGATTTGTTTCTCACCAGAGATATAACTTTGGTTAGGAAATGTTCCAGAAGAATACGAGCTTCGGACAGTGTACATGTAGCGAAAAATTCTCCAATCTCAGCAGTATCTCCACCTTGTTCCTACAGATAAACGAAAAAGTCTTTCAAAAAATGTGCGTGCATTTACTTGGCTATTAAATGTTACCTTTTTTTCAGGGATTATCATTCGTCGCTTCTGAGTCACAGTTGCAGATAAAAAAGACAGGAGATAAAAACTGTTAAAATCGTTAAAAACTATCGCTACAAGTCTTTGTCAGTGGGTAGCTAGAGTGGAAAAGAAATGCAATTTGAAAACAACAGCCAACATTTAAAAGTTATGCCGTTATCATTAAGGCAAGGAAAGATGACTACATAGTGGTAAGAGTTTTCTGTCATTTGGTATCCTATTAGCTTGAATTTACAGCCACCTCATATCGCTCCCAGTCGCTGGGAACGTCTCCCGAAACGTGCCAGCGACAGCGAGCGATGAGAGGCGGTTGCATTCCCAAGCTTTAATCTTGTATGCGTAGGGGAAAAGAGTACCTTTTAAGGCTATTGGTGAAACAGACTACGAGAAAACTGTGTTGATTACTATGCGGCCTGGGCCTGGTTACGCCTTACGGGCAGCGAAGGACATATCCAAGACCCCTCCGTGAAACAGGAGACTTTTTTCCACATACAAAGTATTTCTGTTAATTGTAATTGTTAAGTACGACCGTCGTAAACGTATGTCACGCGCTTTGGCACATTTCTATTCTGCCCTCCCCTAACAGCTCTAAAGAGTAAACGTTTGTACCTCCATTTCCATGATACTTGTTTGACAGTCTGTGATATTTTCTTGCACGTAATCCATGTGTGCTGTCAGAGCCTCTAGCTGTTCCTTGATCTCCTGTACATTGCCTTCTTCCTATGAACGTTTTACAAAGAAAAATATTAAGTCAGAGGAACTTTCTTGCCCACAGATGCATTTCATAAAGAAAAATTCAAATCCGGTGCTCTTCACGAAGCCTTCTTTAAATAACGCGTGGAAAGATTGTGTGACAAGCCGAAATGGTAAATGCCATAGTTGGGTACACGAAACAGTCATCTGAGTCAGTGTCAAGGACTGGTGCGATCTAGCCCTTTCCATGCGATCAGAGAGCGGGAACGACACACAGAGAAGTGAGGAGGAAAAAACAGCTAGGGAAGTACGGCAAGAGGGCGAGGGAAACTCCTTTCCCTCTCTTCCGCTCCTTTTGCTGCTTAGTTGTTGTCGTCGTTTCTTTGTTTTTTCGCTCTTTGTTTCACCCACTCTCTCCTACCTGAACGCCTGGCGGAATAGGCGAAGAGTGAGTTAGTTAGGGAAGGCAAAATTCTTGTAAAAAGACAAGAAATCTTTCTATTATATGCTCAAAAATACCTTATGGGATGAAACAGCACTGTTATATTTCATCTGACACTTTTCTAACTGTTTGCTGAGACGATCGCGGTCCTGTATCCAGCGATCCATGTCAGATTCCATATTTGCGATAGTCTGTCTTTTGAGTATCAATGACGTTACCTGAGGAATGAGATTTAAGAAAAAAACGGTTGTTTGTTAAATTTTGAGTCAAAAGAAGTTAGGGAGCCCGTAGCTGTTACACTCAGACGAGCCAACTCAACAAGCTAGAAGAGGTCCAAAGTAAACAAGGATAGATGGTTTCAGTACAACCTAACTCATTCTGCTGCAAATTTTTCTTTCCATTGTGAAGTAATTTTCAGACTGGGACATGCAGTCTGACTCCTAAATCTCTATTTTGGGGTTACAGTGTTTACAAAACAGGGAATAGTTGGCCATGTCAAATTTTCTTGAGCCTCTTTTTCAAAGCGAGTCCTGGCGCTACCCTTTCATATGAAAAGAAAGACGTTTTCGTTCCCGCGCAAGTTGATGACTGGTTGTGTACCAGACCTCGCTTTGAAAAAGAGGCTAAGAATACTCAAATGGGCCATTCCTTAAAGAAGATTGGTAGCATCAATATTTCTCGTTCTGCAGCTTTTGAAAACACGCGTGCAATTTACTAATCCATACATATTCATTCAATAAAGGTTGCTTTGGGCATTGGTAACTGGCAATTGGGCATTTTTACATACGAAACCCACTTTAATGATTTGCTGGAGTCACCACCAAACAATGCAATCCAATGTCCAATTTCCAATGCCCAAGCAACTTTTGTCGAATCAGCTATATACAACAAACTTTAAATATTATCTCTGATATCATATACAAGAGAACTCAAATATTATCTCACCTTCTTATCGATAACGTCCCATTTCTTTTTAGCGCTTCGAGAGGCCTGCTCCATGGTTTTCTTCTTTCTTGGCGATTTCACCGGAAGTCCAGATGGCCTACCAGCTGCACCAGAAAATCTTGAAGTTGAAGATGAACTGCTGAGCGAGGTACTTGAAGTGACAGCGTGCGAACTGTTATAGTTGAAATCATGAGTACTTGTTTCAATGCCATTGAGTTCTCGAGTACTCAACATCGTTTGGTTTCGTTGTTCCCCAAGCTTGCCAGACATAGGTTTCTGTTGACGTCTAAGGGCTTTCACCTGTGGAAAGGAACTCGCTCTCTTAGCAGGAATTGAAGGCACTTGCAATCAGTGGAAAACATTGGGAAAGGTATTTACTCCTTGCAGACTTTACATTACAATAAAAACCCGCGAGCAAGAAGCTGGTTATTAAGACCGGTTATGCTAAAATTGGCCAGTTAAGTCTCCTCTATACAACCTGTTTAGCCTAAAATTTGAAACGGGTTCTAATTTTCCAAAAACTATGAAAAAAATTATGAACACTTGGGCAAATAAGATAAGTAAACATTCAAAATCCTCTTTGGAGACAGGTGCCTTATTACCTCAACTGCAATGCATTTGAAAGCAGATTTTATGAAAGGAATAAGCTGAAGACCACTACATACTCTTAGCTACAATGTATTTTTTCCTTCAGTAAATAAGAACCCAATTAATAAGAATCTGAATAGCCTAAATTAACTTATTTAGGCTAACTTGGGAAAATGCAGGTTCTTAGTCGCGAGTTTTTACTGTATCACAGGGTTACTGATTTAGTGAACATTAGTAATTGCCATTTATGTGAAGAAACCCACCTCCACTTCACCCTGGCTCCCAAGTTTGGTTCTTTAGAAGTGTTAAAATAGAAATAAACAGCGACCCAACGAAGCCGAAGCGACGCAAATGCAGCTCGCGGTATATTTACCTTAACGTTTAAAGCAATCCTAGTAAAACAGCCAAAAAGGATATAGAGCTTGCCAATATCTTGAGTGTTTAAATTGGCAAATTTGTAAAGATACGCCCAAAATTCGTGGGCAAAGTGTAATTTATCCACGGCAGGATTAGCACAGTCGGTAGAGCGCTTGACTGCAGAGCGGGAGGTAGCGGGTTCGACTCCCGAGGCCGGAACAATACTCAGGGTCTTAAAGTAGCTAAGAAAAGAAGGTACTTTCTTCGCCCCGAAAACGGGTAGACCTTCGCGTGGCTCGCGGATGATCACGTAAGATAGTATTTCCAGCTAGTATTTTCCTGATAAATACTTTGAAATTTAAATAAAGTGCTTTGTTTTGTTTTTTTTTTGTTTGTTTTGTTTTTTTCAATCTTTAGACTCTACCTTCACGACAAGATCATAGAAGGAAAGACATGAAGTTGGTTCGCAAACGAAGATGAAACCACTGCCACTTTCAACAGGTTTTTTAGCGACAACGGCGACATTTAGGCAACAGTTTTCGAGAGCAAACCTGCTTTTAGCCAAGCCATCTGCAATCATAGCCGTAAATAATATATTTCTTGGCAACACAGAGTCATATATTCAGGTATGCTCTTTGACACACGTTGTCAGTTTGCATGTATGTTACATGGCACCTTAAAGGATATCGACAGCCGAACTATCTTATATCTGAGAGACATGAAAGCTCGCACGGAATTCTTCCAAAATAATTCAATATAATTGGGACAACAGAATAAACTATTTTGGAGGGAAGAATATCAAAGAGATCAGTACTTTGCAATTATACATGAGGACGGTAATTTTTCTTCGTAATATGAAGTTATTCATTCTCAATATTAAGAGCGAAATAGGAAATTGGAAATTTTATTTCCTCTGATCATACAGCGTGTTTACTAATGTATCAGAGCATTTTTAGACGAGTAACAGCAAGGATCGCTCTTCAGTTCTAAAAGGTAAGAATTTTTGGTAATAGTTTAATTACTATACCCCTCAGATGAGTGTTTACTATCTGAATGCTTGTACTACGTCGCGTACTGGAGGTGACACCCGTTAGATCTGAGAAAATTTTATACCGACCATTCAAATGAAAGGTACATACCTAGCAAGTCAAGTTCGCTTCTCTCTGACATTGTTTATTACGAAATACAGGGCAGTTCTAAGCTTTAGAGTTTGTGGATTAAATTCTTAAGTAGAAAATTTTATACCGACCATTCAAATGAAAGGTACATACCTAGCAAGTCAAGTTCGCTTCTCTCTGACATTGTTTATTACGAAATACAGGGCAGTTCTAAGCTTTAGAGTTTGTGGATTAAATTCTTAAGTGACGACACTGAAACGGAAGCTATTGAGCAGTTCTGAAAAGTTGTTTGTGATGAGTTTATTACTCAAGTAGAATTCAAGTGGATCGAAACGGTGACCATTCAAATGAAATCTGTTGTGCAGTATTTTGTGCTGGTGGAAGTGATTTGAAAGTCCATCGTCCGCAATGAGACCCAGCATCAAATGAGAGCTGCTGGAAGGTCAGTTTATTATGAAAAAGTTGGTTCTACCTCTTGAATATGGGAATGAAATTTGTGGCCATTCAAAAGGAGAGTACTAAGAAGAACTTTATACTGGTACTGTTTACTGTGCTCTACAAGATGGTTCTAACTTCAAGTCTGCGGATGAAATCCTAAGGTGGGACATTAAAATGAAAGCTACTGAGCAGTACTTTCCTGCGGTATGCTTCATTTTGTTTCATAAACTATTTATAGTCTGTCATGATTAAATCTTGTATTAGGGCCTGTTTACATGGAGGTGGGGGACCCCAGGTAGGTGAGGTAACGCGCCACTCCACTATCTCTCGTTTTTATTTGATCGCGTTTACATGATAGGTTGGGTGACCATATGAAAGATTACATGGACAGGCGGGTTACCTCACCTACCTGGGGTATCCCAAGTCCACGTAAACAGGCCCTTAGAACCTGTAACATTCCAAATGAGAGTTGCTGACCAGTTATGAGCAGCATTTTGTGTGGTCCTTTTTATTTCCTGAAGTTCCGGTAAAAGATATGAGCAGTGCATTCATAATTAGCTGATTGGCTTCAGGGTCACCTGCATGGACATACCGTAAAATGCTGTTAAGAAGCCCCCCCCCCTTCACTTTTAGGGCTGCCAGTTATAGGCCCATCTATCTGTAAACAAAAAAATACATCAGATGATAAGCTCCCCCCCCCGGATAGTCGGGGGCGGAGACTTAAGCTCAACAAAGCTGCAAAACTTCGGATTAAGGTTTGGTCATTTATGTTTTGCATAAAACTAGTCGTGACGATACCGAATAAAGGTTCGCGAAAAGGATAAAGGCAATGATCGGCCTCCATTTATAAGCTCTCCTAAAACCCCTTACAAAGTTGTGTAAGCCCAGCATTTATAAGCGGCAGTTTACGGTATGTCCTGTCAAAAAAGAAAAATTAGGGAGCATTAACATCGACGACGGCAACGGCAGCGAAAACGTCAGTTTTGAAATGAGTTCCCGTTTTTTCAATCTTTGTCGTGTTTATTCCAATTTGCTGAAAATGGCAAGTGTGGGCGAATTTCCCCGGAGTTGATTTCTTGAGGACCGCACTCAAGTTTAGAGAGCGAAAAAGAGATTCGTCGTCGCTTGTTTACGTCCTCCATAAAACTTGCAACTAGGTATTTTCACGTCGTAGTCGTGCAAGGACGGTAAAGAAATGTACAAAAAAGCGTGAAGCACGTGCAAACTCGTTGTTTTGCGTAATAAACCTACTGTTTTTTTGACGTCCTGGTTCCCGTCGCCGTCGTCGTTGCTAAAGTTCCCTAATTATTGACAGGCCTGCACGCACAATAAATTTCTACCTCTTCCTGTTTTCTCTTCAGCACAATATCCCTCTGCCGTTTCTCCATTTCCAAATTTTTAATAGTCATTTGTCTTAATCGCGACTCCTTCTTCAATTGTGCAATCTCTTTATTCCTCTGAGCCTCTTGCTGTTTGCTCTTCGTCGCTTCCTCCTTCATCTGCTTCATAAGACGAACTTTCGTCTTCTTTAATTCACTCAGCTCACTCTGAAATGTTCTCAGCTGCTGCTCGTTTTGTGCCTTTTGTCGAAGAAGTCTCGCATGTTCTTTCTTCGCAGCCTGCATCTTTTTTAGTTCCCCTTGCAAGTGGCTTATTTTTTTCTCGTAATCTCCACGTATTTGCCGGACCTTCTCCTCTGATTTAGAGTCTTGGTCTCTGACGCTTTGCAACACCTTTAAAGAGAGTAAATTAATATACAACTAGTAAGTTATGCCCAAGCCTTTAAGAAAATAATGCATATTTCATAAGTCCTTTCTTAATTCACAAAACCTCTAAGTTGATAAGTTTGAACGTACTTTGTAACAGTGAAACCATCAACAACTATCATGAACTATTTTGACTTGCGGTCAAACGGTTTATGAGATCGTGTGATAGTTCATGATATCGAGAACCGGAAGTAGCGCACTTACTCCTTATATTGCTTACGGCCAAAAAAGTGACGGGTACGCTGTCATGTGCATACAATGCGTTACAGAAACATTCGTTTGCCATCTTAAAGGGTCACAGTCAACTTTGGGACCTCGCTGACTTGGACACTAGTTTTGAAAAGCGTTTACCTCAACCCGAAATCAAAGGTACGCGTCGGATAATCTACAAATCCGCTTTAATCTTGCCTAGTGTTTCATTCGATCGTCGATCTTTTACTGGAATCCTGTTCCTAAGTATTCGTTTACTCATCCTATAATATTATTTTATCATATTTGGTTGAAAACGGTATGGATCACGTATCTTGTGATGCGCAAATCAGCTAAGAAATGGTATGTAATGCGCATTTGCAACAGCTGACGGCGTCCCTTAAAGGCAGTTTGTAAAACTTTACTTTGCTGCTGTCTACTGACCGACTTTTGCACACTTGTTCTCAACATCAGGGTAACACCTGGAAAACTCCACCTTAATATTTTATCATACCTAGGAGTAAATTCGCCACTTTAAAAACGAGAAACTGCGGCGAAATCGTGTCTGTTTTGAAGGAGATTTTTGGGTGCGTTTCTTTAGGATGATCCGGATCAGGATCAGTAATGCGAGATCACTTGGATCATGGTGCATCAAATGATGTACCATAACCCAAGTGATCTCGCATCACCGATCCTGATCCGGATCATCCCAATGAAACGCACTCTTTAGTCTTAAAGTCTCATTTACCTGATCTCTCTCCGTTTCAGTTTCTTTGATCTTGTTATGCAGAAGAGACAGTTTCTCCTCATACTGTGTCTTCAGCGATTGCAGCTTCTTCTGGCTACTCTCTAGCTCACCAATGAGCTTTTCTTTGATGGAAATCTCAGTTGACAGATCAGCCAGATCGCCTGACAAGTCACGGCCATTGTCTGTTGTTATAAATCATATAAAAGTACATAAGTGCGCGGTGTGGAGTCTATAGGCAGCTTTAGGCAATGTTCACACTACACTGGATACTCTTGCGCGGCATGAAAACCATACCGGATAGTGCTTCTGTTCACATATAGAAACTGTGCTTTTGGCACGAGTTCTGTAACGGAGTCAAGCTGTGCCGTGCCGATCTCGAAAGTGTTGCGTCACATATTAGCCTGCGAACGGCAAACGTTTCTCCTCGCTCATCGCCGCTAAGGGACGTTTCGCGAGAAGGAACGTCTGCGACTCAGCGACAGAAATTCGCGAAACGTCTCTCAGCGGCGATGAGCGAGGAGAAACGTCTGCTTTTCGCAGGCTAGTCACATATTAGATAGGTTCTGTTTCACACTTTGCCAAAGTGGTGCAGTGTGTGTCTGTGAACAGGTATTCGAACCGCAGTGGAAGTGTCGGAATAAATAGGAGACGAAAGTAAAAAATCGGGAGTGAGGACTGAAGCTCTTATCAAATGCCCTTCATCTTCCCTGCATACCTAAGGCCACTTCATCATCCTCTGAGTCATCGTCGTCATCATCATCATCTCCATCATCTCCCTGCTCTTCATTACCTTCTTCATTTTCCTGCCGGACAAGAAATGGATAATGACATGAAAAATCATTAACAATTCCGGCGTCTGTAGAGTACACTGTGGGAGGACTAGCTCGGTCGGTAAAACGCTAGGATACGGAGAGGAGTTCAATCCCGGGGGCTCAACCAGTCCTCAGGGTCTAAAAATGGCTGAGAAAAAGGTCCTGCTTTTGCCCTGAAAACAGCTAGACCTTGACGTGGCTCGGATGACCACGTAAAAACGGCAGCTCCATCTTCAGCAGGGACGGTTTCAAGAATTAATACCGCCGCAGAAGTAATGTTCATTCACCAGACCTTAAGGATTTCATAAGTTGTCAATCACCCTTCGAAATGATGCCTCAAAAGTTAGAAACGTTTTCTATATCACGAATGGGAACAACTAGAGTCAAACAACTTTACACGTGAAGCACACTTTTTAGTACATTTCTTTGCTGTCCCTATGCGACTACTGCGTGAAACTTCCCAATTCACGTTATATAGCGAACTTGACCAAACGGCGCCGAATTTATCTTCCTTATTTACGATTCTTAGGGAATTCAACTCCAGGAGAGTTCGCGTACATTACACAAAATGAGCGAATTGGGAAAATCACGTTGAACTTTCAAAGAACGTTAAGTCACTTTTCAACGTCGTGGTATCTTAAACTCCTAACATTTTATGGGTCGAGGGAGTAAGTAAGGTTTTAAAGGTTTACCCACGGTGATTTCAATAAACTTAACGAACAAAGCGTGTAAGAGAGCATAATCCTGAAGCTTGGGTAGCTAAAGATTTGTGAGCGCCCAACAATTAAGATAAAATATAAAAAGTAGAACTTACCTCATCTTCCTCCGTGCTGCTTTCCTCGCTGCTTTGCTCGCCCCATGGCTGATCTTTTCCTTCATGATTATGATTCAGCTTCTAATAAACAAAAAAATTAATAAATCACAAGTTAAAAAATTGTAATGAAAATCAAGCAAAAAAAACTGCCTTTCATGAAGCACATATTTGAACCATACATGTCAGGCAACAACCGACAGAATTTTGAACACGTCCCGAGTGTGCCCCAGCCTTTAAAAACTGGACAAGAAGTTAAATTCGTATCCGCCTTTATTTTAAGCCTAGCACTCTGACCACTCGTCCGCATCATCTCCCCTAATACAACCAGAAACACAGCGGCTTTAAAGAGATGATACAAAGAAATTGCACAATCAAAGAGAACGCTGTTTCTACTAACAAATTGCTCCTTGACATCAATCCTCCTTCAAACGAATCCAGACTGCCAGATATTCAAGAATTTACAATCTTATCTTCTCCTACTGTCGCCAGGTTAACCTTTGAGTTATTTTTTCTTCAGTTTTATTTATCTACAAAATCATACATCGTTTAATTCTCATCTTTTTTTCTCACTAATATCAACAAAGAACATTATCCTTCAATTTCATTTATGTACTGACTCATTGTAAGCACCATTTAGACTCTTCATAGCCGCCTATTTTTCTGTAAGATCGTCGAGATTGAGCAATCACCGTCACTGGCAGCCATTTATTTTTGTCATTATTGTTTTAAAATTTACCCGCAGGGCGGGCGTTGGGGTTTATAGTAGATGGAATAGTCTTCTTCAAGCTAGACTCGGTCAAGATGGCCGCCTGTAGCGTTCGTTCTCCACCATTTCACCGATAAATAGGGGACTGTGAATAGACTGGTACCATTTAACTGTTTTTTACACGCCTGCAACTATGACAAAACTTAATGAAATAATTATCACAGAATTTTATACAATTACTAAGAGTAACATAATCAAAGTTTACAAAATTTATTCTTATATCAAGTCACAATAATTCAGGAAAGTTTTATTTAGCTTCTCAAGAGCTAATTATGTGTCGATGTTCGACTTTGATTATTAAATTGTAACTCTAGTAGCAATCATTTGTTAGAGAGACAAAATGCAACATTTAAAATATAACTTAAATTGCATACTGTTTATAGACTAATTACGCCGACAAGTTCATGCATAGAGAAACCTTACCAAGAAGATACTGGACTGAAGATATGACAGGGAAAGAGTAGAAGCTCAGCCTTGCTACCTGTGATTTGAGTTCCGAGGCTCGTGAAGTGATAAAATCGAAGCATCATAAAGGTTAAGTTACAATTAATAACATACTAATACAGACTGGTGGGATGTTAGGAATGATCCTGAATAAACGAGAGAGAGAGACAAATTTTTATCATTATAGTCAAGAGAACAGAGTTGCTTTAAATTGACTCACAGCCAAAAGTATGATTCAGATGACACAAATAGCAATGGATGTGTGTTGGGAACGTCATGGTGAACAAGGTAGAGAAAGTATGATTTTGTGCAATGGCAAAAGACAGACGGACGGAGCAACACGGATATATTATACAGACAGATCGAGCGACCCACAGACAGACAGACACATAGACAGACTGACTGACTGACAGACCGACCCACAGACAGAACGATAGACACACAGACAAACGTGTAAACAGAATAGAACTGTGCAGATAATTTCAGATGTAATGCAAAGAAGCCTGTGAATTGCCAAAGCATTTTTTAAAAACTGTCCTAGTAGTTCACTGGTTTCTCAATACAAGGCACTCACAAATACAAAATCTCAGGAACGTAGGCATACAACACAATGGCGTTAAAAAACACAAATACGGTAAATTTCCGCTTATAAGCCATGGGTTTATATCTTCGTTTGCAACCACGTGACAAGGCGGCCATGCTGAGGGTCAATACAACAGAATTTTTTCTCGAAGAATTTACATGAAAATAGAGTTTAGTTCCAAGAGGAGAGAAATGTTTTATTCTTGACCACTAACATGGCTGTTGTGACGTCACGCGCAAACCAGCAATAAGCGTGGGGAGCTCATAAACGGACTGAAAAATGCGTTTCAAAACAAGCAACACAGCAGTGATGGGAAATACGTTTACAATTTACTGGTTTTTAATTAAGCTTCAAACGGCATAATAATTCGAATTCATTTTCATACATTTGGAACAGAATTCAAACAAACAACACAAACATTGACATTTACTTTGACGGTATTTTGCTATGAAGCTTTAGTTATAAAAAGGGTAGAGAATTAAAAAAAAGTGGTTAACTTATTGTTCCAAAACAATTTTCCAAATTTTGTGTTTGCAGTAGTACAGGGTTCTAGAAAGTCATCTTCTTAGATTCCTAATTGAATTCTGGGTTGTGTGAAATGCAATCTGAAGGTAACAGTTTTTCATTGTCACTGCATTTAAAAACTCTTTTCTTTGAAAGCAGGAGCTAACTCCAATCTTCTACTTGACTTTACAGGCTCGTAACGTGAACCTGACAGGTTCCTTTGATCGTTACCACCATTTAGAATTTGGCATTTTGTGTTAACAAGGTTCCAAATAACTCACATCCAATGGAAAACCACCAATTAGCCTATTTGGTAGGCCAATTAACTCTCAAAACTCCGACAAAGAGTAGTAAATGCAAATATTCATCGAGAGAGTCATTCAGACTGTCACGACACTTAAATAATTAATGATCCTTCAATCTTGAACTCTTACAAATTCTTCCTGCTGCCGCATTATGAAAAGTAACAAGACGGGGCACTTGTATTTCACTATCAGAGATTGATAGGGTTGAAGTAGGGAGGCTGCTGAATGAGAAAGAAATGATCGCAGATGACAGTGATGTCAATAGACCTCTGGATCACTTCGGGCCAACATGGATATTTGAAGAGATTTTCACTACAGCTAGAGCACATATTAAATTAAAACAACAAAAAAATTACAAGGCACTCAAACAACAAGGAAGCAAATAAATGCAAGGAAAAGATGAAATAAATTGCAGCTAGATTGTAAAGCAAACAAAATGCAAAATAACAAGGCTGAGATGTGCAACAAAACTAGAGAATAGAAACAAGACCAAGCAGGTGCAAAAATGAAGAAAATAACAACAAAAAGAACAATATCCAAAGCACTCAAGTATAAAGAAAGGGTACACAAGAGCATCAGTTTTAATCTTCTTTATTATTACAAAAAATTACTTTCGAATGAATGATTCTTATGATTATTAGTTTTAGGAATTAATTTACGCAGTCCTCTACATATCTGTGTACAAGAAACAAGTTCAAAGTCAATTACTCAGTTTTATAAGTTGTTATTTCAGAAACGTTTTAAGATTTTATTTAAGTAATAGAAGTTTAAATTGAAACATTTTTGTCGACACTATTCTTTCACAATTCCTGTACAGGCAAAAAGGTTCAGTTTTTCCATCTTCAAAAGAACTTTCATGATGGCAACTCTTTACTGCCTATTTATTGGTAGAATTAATAAAATTCCTTAAGGCATTAAAATTTACCCAATATTTTTATTTTGCCATCTCGCAAATTTTAATTTATACTGTACACTAGTCCGGTGAATGTACATGTACCTGTAGTTCTCACAAAAATAATTCAACAATGGTCATTTCTTTGAATACAATATCCGTGGTTAATACTAATGCCACATCCATTGAAACACAGAGCATGACATACCAAATAAAAAATACCATCCAAATTATGAGGGTTCAACTAAAATTTCACCAGGATAAATATCATTATTAATTTGCCAACACCTGAAGGTGCAATTTAAAGAAATTGCAATACTGCAAGCACAATATGTTGTATCATCCTTTTTATATCTTTGTGTTTCACATTAAAATATTTTTTTTAAATAATTTAAACAACTTAAATACATTGTCAATAATTTAGTTTTTCTAAAGGTTACAATTAATAATCATTGATGATTTTTAAAATAAATAAACCTACCTCTATTACAAATTATTGAAAGAAATCAAATAATGCAAAATAACTTATCAAAAACCATACACTGTGAGCAGAGGTTACAATTTCGCAGTGTGAACTGCCATGCACGAGAATGTAGCTTCTGCTCACAGGATACAACAACCAAGAATTTAAATAATTGTAGATTAATTTTATTCAATTCATTTTTAAAGTATATTAATATTGCTTAGCTACAGTGACTTTTCTTAGTTCATGTTGTTTTCCATTTTAAAATTTAAAAAAAGAAACGCCAATACTAGAAACCACCAATTTGTTTTATATGCAATTTTGATGTTACTTTTATGTGATGAAATATTTGAAGCTCGTCAATTTAATCAATGTTCAGTAACACCACTAGCACTAGCCAGCTAGAAGATTGACTCATCAATAAAGTTGTTCATTAATTCAATGGTGTACATGGATGGATGTTTCCCAAATAAAAATGTAGCACACTGTGCAACTTAAAGAATGCAAAATAAATAATATCAAAAAAGAATTTAAAAAGTCCCAAACTTCTAACAGCATTTAAAAGACTTGTGCTGTTAATAGTAAGTTTAAATTTTAGTAAAATTTATAGAATTTGGAAAGGCAGCATTGGAGTAAGCGGACTTGTGATTTTATTAAACCTTAATGGTTCCATTATTCTCCGTATCCTTCAATCTGTAGCTCACAAAAATAACAGAGAGTAGAGCAGTATCATGCTGCAAGAACTCCACCAAATTTAGGTCTATGGAGCTGTTCTCTTTTGAGGGACCGCAATAAATAACAATTTATAACCTGTACAATGCTGAGAAGAAAGATGAAGAAGTTAAGACAAAAACCATGAGGGAAATTGCTTCCCTTTCTATTGCGCGGTTCCCACAGTTACCATAGGCAGATTTTGCGCCTTTCACTAGCTGATGTTAAAGAGGGTAAAGGCTTTCAAATTTTGACCTCAAACACTGGCCTGAAAAAGGCCGGTGGTGCATACAAAGAATCATCAGAGCCACCATTCTTTAAAACAGGTTCACTATTAGATTTATGCTCATAATTTCCTAACGTAAAAGCCATTGAATCCAAGAGCGAGTCTAGATCTTGCTCAAGTTGAATCTTACGTTCTTGTATACTGCCAGTAGAGTCTGTTCTGTGTTCTCGCAGTAAATGTGGGACAGGGGAGTCTAAGCGTAGGTTCCTTTTGTCTTTTAGTATAGATCTGTACCTGTAGACTTCACTGTCAGAGGCAACTGCCGCACCGTAATCACTTTCCACTTGGCTGTCACTTTCAAAGTGATACTGGTAGCATTCAGTATCTGATACAATGTCAATAGGGGGAGGGTGATGAACTAACTTCTCAGCTTTGAGTACTTCCTTTCTTGGTATCAAAAGGTTCCTGTTTGCTACCTGAGAAACTGCGTTATTATTCTCATCACAGTGAAGTTCAGGTAATGAGCAGTTAAGATCACTGGCAGAGCTATAGGCATCAGAAAAAATATCTGATGTACTCGAGTCCAAAGTGCGACTCAAATCTTTCCTGCATTTAAAGCACTGCATCGGCGAAAGATAAGTATCCATGGCATCGGTGCCGTCCATCAGAGATTCTAGACTACGCGATCTTCGCTTTACTGCAGTTACCTCAGAATTAGCATTTCTCTGTTTCGGTCTACGAAGAACTACTTTAGCAGTATCAGCATTGCGAAAGTTAGATTCTGAGCCATAGACAGGGTTGTCACGGTCGGCCGGAGTTAAGTAATTGCTACGTCTTCGAGGTCTCGGACATGGTTCCTTAGACAAAGCAACACTACCTCGCTGTGCTGTCCTAGTGTACAGTCCAGAGTCAGTTTTGGACTGAACATTCCCGGTATTCCAAGGAAGCCGTGGTGTCACAACCTTAACCTTACCCCCATTAGACTGAAGAAAGGACTTAGTCTGAGGTCGTGCTGTGTTAGTAAAGTTAGCCGAAGGTTTAACTCCATTCATAGTTGAATGGAGGCTGCCTCCACGAGGCTTAACAGGCTTTACACATTTGACTTTGGAGAGAGAAGGATTACGTAACACCACCTGTGCTTTCTGCCGTTGTTTCGCTACATCCATTTTTGCCACTTCCAGGATGCTGGTTGTGGGTTCAGGATGAGAAGGAGAGGCCATGCGAGACTTCAGTGTTGCATGTCTTGTGATAGCCATTGCCATTGCTTCACTTTCTGTCAACTTGTTCCTAGAGGAGAGAACAAGACCCTCAGATTGGTACAATTGAATTTTCAAGACCTAAGATAGAGAATTTAGCCTTAAATCCGTGATATTAAAATCCAGAATCTCTTTTCTTTGTTATATTAGTAGAGAGAAGAAAATGTTCATAAATCAAAACAAAGTATCTTTAATGATGTTGTCCATGTACAGTGGCCATAACCTTTTTAGGCCAAAAGTTCAAGGAATGGGTATTCTGGGGTATTGAAAATCTCAAGAACTTTTCCAGAGAGTTTATGCAAAAAACACTAACAAAAGAGAGCTTCAATCATGAAAACACGTGAACACAATGGACAAGAGCAGTGCACTTTTGACTCAATGTGTTTGTGCGCAAGAGTAATGGCGAGCATTGGGAACTTAATAATCAAGGGTTTGTCACATTTCAGTAGTTGATTATGTCAGCTATTTGCACTCGATTCTTTAAGTGATTGATTGCATGCTTCAAAAAGTATCGTAAGAGAAAATTATCCATTCCAACAAAATGCTAAGAACAACAGAATAAGAAACTCGAATTAAAATTTAACCCTGGGTTAGCACTAATTGGCATTCAAACAACGGGGCCCAGATAGTGGACAGTTCCCAGAAAAATGAGGACAGTTAAGAGTAAAGGAGATTTAACAGATTATACATGACGAATCTTGATGTAGCTGAGCCTTAAATAGCCTGCAAATAGCAGATGCATTTCCGGTCGTCGCTTCTCTCCCCCCGAGGGAGAGAAGCGACGACCGGAAATGCGTCTGCTGTTCACACACTAAGCCTTAAACAGATTCATACAAAACAGCAAAGGTATCTTCTCTGTCCATAACAAAATGGCCCTAAATCAATGGACCTTCTTCAAATACTTTGAAATGATGGCTATTTAAAAAGGAAACATTTCTTACCTGAGTTCCTCAATTTCCTTTAAATATTTTTGTATGAGGGACTCAACTCCATCATCGACCTCCTCTCCTAGAGACCAGAGAAAGCAGAACATGTAGATAACACAAGTATACCTAAGACAACTCATGCAAAGTGTCCCAATGATTAATTACATTTACATCTTAGTGCACAAAATAACACTGTTATAAAGCCTGGTTTCTACATAATTTTCCGGATTGCCTTCATTACAGGAGATGTCTCGAAATGTATTCAAGTCATTGATATTCCTCTGATGCAATAAAGGTTGATCCACTGAGGCAATCTATAGTGTTTTCACATAAATAAATAAAGTTTTCACATAAATAAATAAATAAATAAATAAATAAATAACATAACATAAATAACGGTTTTAGAGGTAGCACATTCACTAAGTGGTTCATTGTCTACCTGATTCCTGGTTGAATTGGAATTTGGAAGTGTTGTCTTTTGAGGGGAGGGGAAAACCTTAGTACCCGAAGAAAAACCTCTCGGAGCAAAGGAGAGAACCAACAACAAACTAAACCCACATATGGCATTGATGCTGGGATTTGAAACCAGGCCACATTGGTGGGAGGCAAGCACTCTCACCACTGTGCCAGCCTTGCTCACATTCGCATTATAGACGTCCCAAAATAATGCAATGGTAGTCATGTTGGTGTCTCAAACTAGATTTCCATGACTGTAATAAATTATTCTGTATGATGAGTGATAAAATTGACGAGTCAAACCTCTATCTACAGATTCCTCTATATACAGCTGACCTAGCTACACGCAAAGACAGCAAACTAACATACAATCCCTACTAGCACAGACACCTTTGTAATGGGAATACTTGGGTGTTTTCCATTCAACCAAAACTTTAAAAAATTTGGAAACAGTGGCAAACAGTACAGAAATTTCCCGGACAAGTTTCCAGAAATTCCAGAAATTGTTGAATTTCCAAAATACCTGGCCCGCGAACGGCAGACGTTTCTCATCACTCATCACCGCTGATCGAAACGGTCCTCAGCGGCGATGAGCGAGGAGAAACGTCTGCCGTTTGTAGGCTACAAAATACCAACCATTCAACCGAAAATTATAGAAATACCGGGGCAGAATTGAATGGAAAGAAATCGTCAGGGAATTTTCCAAAATTTGGGTATACCTAGTTGTGAGGTGGCCCTTAGCCTGTACACAGGCATTGTTTCATTTTTCTTTTCTTTTCTTCCTTGCGCTGGCAGTCAATAAATCCCCTGCTGTTTATATTTTATCACACATGCTCAACAGACTTTCAAGAGAAAATAGACGGTCTGTGAACAGGCTAGGTTGTCCTCTTTTTTAAAAAAATTTAGAAAATGCTGTTCCATTTATTACTGGCAGTTGCCGAAAATTCAAACCGGACGTTTTGGGCGAATGGGAAGCACCCCTTGGCTCCACCCCTTTGGTGTTTTCATATTAAAGAGGGTCAGCTATGTCTTATAAAACAAAGCTGTTTTGAACACAAGCTCAAAATAACACATTGTATCCTTTACTTATTTCAACACAGACTTGCAAGCATTTCACTTTACAATAATTGTCATACCATTCACTTGTGCAAGAACCTGCGAAGAGATCAGTTCTGTTATTCTGACAGACTGTGTGTCAATTGTTTGCTGCAAAGCTTTGATACGCACTCTGAGTCTATAACAAGAAAAAATGTCCCATGTCAATGTTATGAGCCTGAAGTTACCACTACAAGAGACTTTTCTACTCTAAAACAAAAAGATAATTCTTACTTGTCATTCTCAGTTTTTAGAATAACATTTTCATGACAGACATCACTGACTTGATCACCATCAACACCAGATACCCTTTTACCCTGTCAAACACAGAATGGAAATTGTATGTAATAAGCCTAAAGGTTACATTATTTTCAGTGGGGCCATTCTGTCATTTAATAGCTACAATATAGACTACACTACCTCAATAGGGAGTTAAAGAAACAATGTTTTTGAGCACCGCTAGTCAACCAGAAGTGGACTTTTTTGACCCTTCGGCCATGATTTAAACAAAACAATTATTATGTAAATGGTCTCTATAAGAGTAAAGACACTTAGCAATATAAATAGTAGTATCAAGGCATATTAAAAGAGAAAAAGACTCCCTTCCAGTTGACATGTGTCACTAAAAAACTCGGCAGGTCTAAAAATACAGGTCACTTTTCCACAGGTCAGGGTACAGGTCACCATGATACAGATAAATGAACAGCATTAATAAACATGTCTCCTAGCCCTAATCTCTTAACAAAATGCTCTATTAGATCGATTGAAATCTGTGCCCCTTAGTAATTTATCGATCGAGCAGTGACCTGTACTTTTTACCTGTGGAATGTGACATGTACTTTAGACCCGGCACCCAAGATCTCTTTACATGTAATTTTTCAGATGATATGAAAGCCAACTTCAATAACTGTTTTATTATTCATTAAAATAATTCCTACTTTAAAAACAAGCTAAAACATCCTACCTCCATCGACTGTTTATTAGGCAAGTTTAAGAGATAAAGGGTTGTTCAGTTCTGCAAATATTCTCCAAATAGCATGATGTTGTCCATCGGGTTGTCTTCTTGCTGTTCTTGCTATGTTTTTAGCCAATAGTTTGCCTACTTATTCCTCATGAAGCAGGGGAAACGTTCCATTGTATTTTTGTATTCACTACCGAAACAACTCAACCTAGTCCCCAGGTCTTCTCAGTAAACATTTCAAATCTCTGGCAATTTTGCTGCACGATTGACATCATCAGTTCACATATTGCAAAATTCTTCCAAATAAATTCGGTTGACAGTAACTGGTTATGATGAATTATGTGTGGGATTTTTGCCAATCAGAAACGGAGTACACATTTTCAATCAATAATAATTTATCATACCTGTACCACATTCATAGTTTATATATAAACACTGTGTTTATTCACTGTAGGACAGGCATAACACTGGAGCACATACAGATTACTGGTTCCACTGGCTCTTGTAATGGAGTGGCAAGACCTAGACAGTAATACCTGTTTAAATTCCAACAGTTCCATTGTAAGCTTTTGAATCTCAAGTCTTAGTGCTGCCATCTGTTTGCTGGTTTTATCTTGATTCACAACAACCTGAAAGTGAAGAAATAAAAACAGTCATTAATTTCTATTTCAAATGTGAATACTGTCATTAATTTCATTTTCTAATAGTTCTATTCATAATACAAGTACAAACCAAAGACAAACTGGCAATGGACTGAAAATGGAGTTCCAAACTGAGAGAAATATGTGACAAAGGAAGCAAAGAATAAGTGCCCTACCCCAGCAAAGCTAATATAGAAAGGGTTTAATTAAGGACAATACAAGGAGGCAAGTCCAAAGGTATACAAATGTACATGTACAGTATAAAGTTATTTAAGGAAATTCAGTTGATGAGAAATAATTCAGAAGGAAATGGTCTTATAATATAACAGTCCATCAATTCTCACTGGATCTCAAAACCCATGGAGACAAGTGTACAAGCCTGTTACTTGAGCACTTCACCTTGTTTTTGATATTCCTCGCTCGGTTGGCATACTTGAGTGTGTTCAGAGTTTCCATGAAGTCTCGATCAGAGGGTGAAACACAAGCGATCATGAGAGTTCGGCTACAGGTAACATACGCCGTATTAATAACACACCCTACAGTTACTGATGTACTTCTCATAATAATCCTACTTCAACCTTGGAATAGTAGTTAAAAATTAATATTCAAAGGAAAATACCCTAAAATCTGCATGTAATACTCAGGATAGCCAAATAGGCAAACAACAATAATTGTATATTTATTGATTGCCAAGGAAATACATTAGAGCAATTTTAATTGACCCATGAAACAGCTAAAAACTACTAACGCAAAATAGCTACAAATAAACAAAGAAGACAATAGAATTAGTGCCTAATAGTGCATAGTTATTCTACTAGCTATTTCCCGGGTTAAGTAAAATCACTCTGCACATTCACACTGCATACATAATACTATTTGACGCAGGCTGTGAGAGGATGTTACATGTACATACTGATGATAACTTTAAAAAACATTTTTTTCCCCTGAGACTCGTGCACTTACATAAGATATTTTACAAACATGTAAGGAACATACAAATACAATAGCTAGAATAATAATAAGAAAAAAATATATAACTGAATAAATAAAAAAAATGAATAAGAATTGAAGTCAAACCAATCAATGTGACCCTTATCCATCAATAGTGGTGTCTATGTCAGCTTAAGTATCCTGGCTTTGAAGATTGCAAAATAATACATTGTACCTTTTTTTTCCTAAAAAGTGTGTTTTGGAAGATAGGGCAGCACCAGAACCATGTAGAGAAAGGTGAACAATGAGTAGGAAGGTAAAATCAAAATAATAATCTTCTGGCGGGTAACTTATAACATAAAAAGTGAAAGGGGTATAAACTGTGTCAAAGTTTCCAACTCTTTGTGGTTATAGAAGTATTAACGTATTTCCCACCTATTGCCTCCAAGAGAGTCTTGCAGTAATCTTGTGAGTTTGGAATCCCGGTAGGGTACATGGCTTCCCCTCTTTGTTGCATCTCCTAAAGCACTGATTACGTTACCAAGAGCCAGCTAAAAATAATTGAAGGTGGAGGAAAAATGATCGAAATTAGGACACCGACTTCACCTTCTCAACATATTTCATAATAAGTTTGTTTATACATTTGTATATTGGATAAAAATTTCTCTACAAATTTTCATAACAATTTGTTGTTTCTCAATGTCTGTGTCATCTAAGGCTATTTTGAGAAGGCAAGAAAGGGTTCATTTGAGTGAAAGTTGAAAGATCTTAAAATGTATGTCAAGTTATTGCTAAAAATGTTTAGGAAAGAGACAGTGCAGGGATGTCGCTAAGAACAAGCTGCTAGTTAATTTAAGTGGTTGAAAAAGACCTTACAACCAGCTCAAATTCCTTTGGAATTATAACAAAAACATGGAGGAATTTTGTAAGTACAATCAAGTAAAAAAGCTGACTTGACTAAAACAAAGCCTGCTGAACTTTTCCTTAGCTACATCCCTGACAGTGCCATTAAAATGTGGGTTAATAGTCACATCACGTTACCTGTCATCTCAGTTTCCTGCACTACAAGAATCCTGTAGCATGCTATAGGATTCACATTGTGCAGTACCAGATAAACAAAGTGGCAATTCTTGGGATAAAATTCACTAAAACACTATCTGTCAAGTGTAAAACCAATTATAATAAATTTTTACAAATGATTTAACCCAGGGTACTGCAGAAAACGTTATCCCTATTGTTTCTTTTATAAACTAATTACACTGATTAATACTGATAGTTTATTGAAATCATGGAGTTATTCTAGAAAATATATTACCTAAGCTTTAGATTAAACATCAAAACTGAAAATATCTCACCAAACCACAATTAATTGAAATTCCTTCTTTGGCGCGGTCCCCAGTTGCACCAGTTCGTTTAAGTCTCTCTGAACCAGCCAGATCCACAAAGTTGAACTTGGCTGTAAGCATCTCATACTCATAGTTATTAATGTTGTCTGATGAAGGCTTTTCATCATTATCATCACAAATCTGTACAGAGAAATAACAACTTTCCTTACATTTTACAATCAGAGGGGTCAGCACCAGGGAAAAAAGTACTCTTGCATAAGGTACAGTGTTATGTAACAGACATCAATATTACAAACAAAATCTCCCTCTAAAAAAAGCATAATTAGTGACCTTACGCGGTTGTATTATAAACATCTCATGTTATGAAAAGTCAAAAAAAAATTTCTTGTGCACTTAGGATTGTCTTATTTGACTTTAAACCCACTCAGGAGTAGAGATTTGTCAGTCCTTAAGTGTTAATTAAGTGTTACCACTTGTCTTTTAAGAGCAGTGTCCAAGCACAATTTTTTAATATCATACAATTCATTTTAAAACAGCCCAAATTACATGTTACAAAACAACCTTACCACATTATTACAATGTACAACTGTAGAATACCAAGACATAAATTGTTACATTCAAAGTTTCCCAAGACGGCAATTAAGTTTTGAAAGATAAATTAACATAATTATTTTGTTCAAACTACTTACGGCCAGTTATTTAAACGGAGTTTGAAAAGGGTTTAACAAAACCTTGTTCTAAGTCATTTTCAGTTTGTCTAACACTTTAATCCAAACACCATTTGCTATGAACAAATTCATTAGAGTATATAGCATAGACTAAAAAAGTATTTACCTTCTTAAATTAACCCAGTATGGAAGAGATCTGGAGGTCCAAAGACTTCTTAAACGGCAGTCTAAGTTAAACTTCGTTTAAATAACCAGCCCTTAAACTTTAGCAGCCAAAGCAAGGAATTAACATTATCCAGTACATCAATTTTGTTATTATTTTTGCATCAGATTGTAAAATAAATTTTATACATATTAAAGAGCTTGTTACATTGTACCTTAACAACACGCTGCTGCTTGACATGAATGGTAAATATAGCATGGGATCTTGAAGACTGTGCATTCATGTTAGTACTGGCAGTAGTTCGAGAAAGAGCTCCTTGTTGTAGGCAATTTAAAGTCTGCAAAAAGAAAAACAAAACAAAACAAACTATGAGTATATATGAGTATATATGTTACAGTTTAAACTTGATTTCAGGTTAATTTTGATTTAACCCTGGTTGATTCTCAATTCCCCTTTGTGTCATACATTTGTGTGTAGCCTTAAGAGACAAAGGAAAATGAGTATCAATCTAGGATGAAACATTTTAACCTCTAAAATCAAATTTAACCTGTAACAAGTACAAGATTAAGTGGCATACATGTACATGTAAAAATTGTCTTATAAAAAATAAAAGAAAACTATTACTTATTGCACCAATCTGATCCTCTAACAACAGGAAGAGCGAAATCTACTGTTAGAAATTTGAAACTGGTAATTTTTAGACAATTTACACTCTTAACTAAATATTTATTTACTAAAGAACAAAATGCATCCAACATTTCTGCTGTAAATGTATGCTCAGCATCTACAATCTATGTTTAAAAATAGGGAACTCATTCCCCAGAAAGCTGCTTTATTATGCACTTACAACTCAACAAGTGGGCAACATTAAGCAAAATTCATTAGGTGTTTTGGTAGCATTAAGAGTACATTGTAGGCAAGAGAGGTGAGCCTTTCTTGCCAACTCCTGATCGCCTGCTTTGTTTCAATGCAAAATTCAAGGGTTTTACTATAAGCAAGGACATGGGTTGGGGCACCAATGAATGTATCTGAGCACCACACCCGTGTTCTTATGGACAATGATGAAATGCAAATATAATAATAATAACTTCACAAATAACCAGCCGTCTTAACCACAAAACATTATGCAGTGAGAACACCTACATGTATTAGTGATTCATATTATTTCACAAACCTTTTGATTTAAAACCCAACACAATAATACTTACATCTTGAGCTGAGTTTACTGGCTTCATTGTTACACCCATGGTATAAATATTTCCATTGGCATCCTCATGAATTTTAACATTGCTTTTACGGCCCTACAAAACCAAAGACATTCTCATGTACTACACATGCACACTAGCTAGAAATTTTATTTCTATGGGATATTTTTCCTTGGCCTTTAAATGGACACTAGCATTGGGTATCATGAGTGTCTACATAAATAAAAGATTTCACTGTGCACGAAAATCATTCACAAACAAGTAACACTTGAATTCAAGAGCTTTGTAGATCAACATTTTACTGGCAAACAAAAACAAGGATGTAGAGAGAGAAATTTGGTTGATAAACTGGTCAGTCTTCCTGCAGTCAAATGTCACATCATGTGATCTTCACTTTCTCAAACACAAGTTTCCTCAAACTCTTTCTCACAACACCAAAATTACCATTCACTAAAAATAATTCCAGCACAGAACTGAAAACTAATGTCTTTATTAATTCCATAGACACCTCTGTAAAGCTGATGGCAAGTTTTTTTAAGATTTTATTAACTCGACAGAAGTCTCAAATACAATAGAGTGTAACAGAAAGCTCTGATGACGATTTGAAAGTATAACAATGTTAATACACGTCAGGTTGATGTGGTTTATTTCAAAAATGATATCCTCTGAAAATCATGATGATATTCACCCTAATCAATGTAGCTTTTATTTCTTTTGTTTTAGGGTTATAATCATAATTGTTAACAAGACAAAGAAAAATGACACTAAAAATTTTTGAACTAATTATCCATCATTTTTCACCAGTAGATAATTATATGGAAGACCTACCTTGTTATTGTCAAAATCAAACAAATCCATAAGTTCTTCATTGTAAAGCTAAATTGGGTAAATAAGAAAATACATATTATGAGCAAAAACAAAGCAACATCATGCATAAATTTTATTCATCTTCTGAACACAATGTGCAAGTATTAAAAATGCACCACAAAACAAGACAATGAATGATAAAAAAGCATGATAATTATGTCAAACATTATGATCCAAAAACTATGATTGTATCAATCAATACGAGTCATTTCTGCACAGAGGAGATTAATAATTGTTATAGGTTATTTTGTAATGATTTAATTTTAAAGAAGTCATCCCTGACCCAGCAAGGTTGCTCAAGTTCTTGTTAGCCTCTCAACAAAAGATGTTATGATGGCTTTTATCGAACAAAGAAAACCACTTCAATCAAATTTTAAAACGTTGGGCTTTGTGATTTTTCTAATTAGCTGAATATACATTCATTCACTTGTCATTACAGCTTAACTTTCGCACTCCAGACTACCCAAGTAGATTATAAATAGAAATGTTGACTACAATAATGGCCTAGAAAATGTTTTGGTTGTTTAAGAAACTCTGGATTCAAACATTATCATACCATTCAAGCATTAAATGTGATGAACTCAACAAAAACTTTAGTCCCACCAGTGGGGGACACTTAGCAAGTACATGTTTATAGTATTGTGATGAGTAGTGTTTCAAGGGCAATTAGACATGGTTTATTAGGGTCACAACCTCACAAAAACATCTCACATACTTTAAATTGTTTTCTTACGTTTAAAGTAAACAGACATGGCTTAATTTCATTTTCCTTTTGGAAATTAAAAGGGCTCTTGAAAAAAAAGTGATAAGTCAAAGCACTCAAGGGAACATTAAGCACTTCAACCTGTTATACTGTTCCTATACTCCGCTGACAGAGTAAAAAAATGATGACATGCACTGTACTTCAAATTTTTAAAAGAAAAATCTTTTGCACTTCTCTCACACAACACCATCTTATTTTTTAACAATTTTATATTATATCAGTGTTTTTTTTTCCATCCTTGGCGGAGAGTAGGTCAGGTCCATTTTACAAGAAAACTCAGCTTAGTCTAATACTTTATAGAGCACAGTGGCCAGGGGTGCTGACAAAAAAGGTTGCCAAACATATGATACACAAGGCAGAGTAAGACAAGCTTGAGTACTTCTCAATTAGAGGGTAGATTGGGGTTTCTTTGCTACAGAATAATTTATTATTAGCAGGTAATTTTAGTAACACTAGTTTTCTTAATTAGCCATACTATTTTGTTGTTTTGTGAACCCCTAACTGTAGTTTTTAATTAGCTTTTTTGTATTTATCGATATTTTTCAGGACTCCTGTTGACAGTATCTTAATTTTACCACCAAAAGAAAACAATGCCCTGCACTAGTAACTACAGTGTATCTGCTAGACACAGAGTCCTCTTTGCACTCACTTAATACAAATGCAATGCATGCTTTAAGGCTCTCTGTAATCCTTATTGGATCAGAGTTAAGAAAATTAAAAATTGTTAATTCTGTCTCTAGGGCTAATACTGTAGCTACATGTACTCCATGCTGGGCCACCAAACACTTTGCGAAACTGCGAAAATTATTTAAGCATTTATTTTTGTGCAACTTAAATGGGATTTTGTCAAATTGTTTTTCTAGTGAAACAATATTATTTTTATTTTTTACCCTTTTAAGAAAATGTACGGTAAAAAGTAACAAAGTTTAAAAACGTGCAAGATTATTACCTCCATAAACTGAACAGTCACTTTAAAATCCGGTAAAGGCTCATTTCTTTGTTTGGCATCCTGTTTTCTTTTGGTAATTCCATCAAATAAATGGGCCACTGCACGCGGAATGATTCCTTCCTCTTCTTGAGAGATAGCAATGTCAAAACCAGTTCCCATGGTATATGTCTTTCCAGATCCTGTCTGTGTTAGATTGAAATGAACATACATATACATAAATTATAAAAAATATAAAATCATTGATTCTTAATTGAATTTCTAATGCCTGGTTTTTTAGCGATAAAAAATGCCCAAGACGGTCAGGGATTTCTTTATTTTCTGACCATCCCAGATTTAACAGATGATTATGTCTGGATAATCTCTTTCTCACACTAATCTTTCCAAGGTGCCAATTTGATTTGTGAGGGGAAAAACTGGATCCAAGCAATTAGAGGATTGGTACTGTTTCAATCACCCACAAATAATTGCCAAAATCGGGGACAGTAAAAAATTGAGTTGTCAATTGTCATTAATGATCTCCTACCAGCAAAGAAATCTGAAGATGTCAGGAAAATAGATACACCAGAAGATGTATCCTCAACAATACTACTCTCAAACAATGAAAAATGGCTCCATGTACAATCCTCATTGCTCGCCAAAATTTGGGATGGCTGTGACAGTGAGGTTCCTGATCACATACATTACATGAGGACTTTCACCTAGTTTGCAGTTTGACTAGAGCTGTTTCCATACAAGTTACAAAAATTTTTGTTCGCAATATGTCAGTCATTTTGCCTGCACATGGCAATCCTTGAGCCCTATTACTCTCTACACGATTTTCCATAATCGAATAAGAATCAAGTTTTGGTTCATAATTGCAAGAAAAGGATGTTAATATCTACGTGTGAACAATGTATCAGCACCATTACAGAGTGAAAATTAAGAACGGTATTGTAACTTGGAAATGCAAAAAAAGAGCATATTCATTTCACATTTTGTTGGCATTAATGGGAAGAAATCATTGACTGGAATGTATAAAATATTTATTATGAGAAATTTCAGCTAAATCGCTTAGCTTTCATCTGCAGATGTTAAAAGACTAGAAGGTGTAAAATATTTGCTACAAGATATTTCACCTAGCAGATGAAAGCTAAGCGATTTAGCTGAAATATGTTGCAGCAAATATTTTAAATGTTCCAGTCTATAATTTCTTCTCATTTTAATCCTTTTTTGTTCTGTAAAAAGCCCACAAGCTCTGGCTACCTCTTTCAGCTTATATGTGTGTTATTTATCACATACAATTATGTAAAAATTGTATTACTTGTGGAGACGAGCAACAACAACTGAAAAGAAACTTGAAGAATATATGTAATTACAGAAAGATGGCTAGATGATCTGAGTCATCAAAGCTTGGCTCTTGGTTATAAAAATAATCAGGAATTGAACTTAATTACTTGATTTACATAATCAGGAATTGAACTTAATTATGTTCACTGATATTTTCCTTAAATTAGGTTAGAAAAAAAGAAAACACAACAATGCAATTCAAGACATTAAGAATATTAATATCAATAAAAAGTTATCCAATAATTTTGTTGATATTAATTTGTTTGCTGGGGTCAATTTTCTGTCACCACAACCCAAAGCAATATTCATGAATTATATCAAAATTCAAGACGACATTATAAATAATACCAATAGCAACATTCAAGACCTTACAAATTGACAGATGTTCATACTGAATCTTTAAAATTAGAAAAATAATAATTCATTTGGTTAAAGACAACTATCTAATTTAGCAGCTAATAAACCAGGTTTTCATTTTTCTATACTGTATTATGTGCTATGCTCAATAAATTTTATTGAGCATAGTACATAATTTATTACTGAGACTACTGGATAGAATCTTATAGACAACTGAAGTTTGGAAAAGCAATAATGATAAAGAACAAACCTCAATACAACAGAGTAAAATAATATGCTTGCATAATTTTTACCTAGTTCTCTGAGTGTAAAAAGGTTACTGGTAAACAGTAAATGCCAATTGCTTCCGAGAAAAAATTCAAATCTTGTATGAATGGCATATGCTAATTTATGCCTGTTTCCGCCTAAAAATAGCATCATAAACAATCATCTCAAAAAATGTATACACACAGTAAAGTACAGCTGAAAAGGAAGTTTAGACATTCAAGAGAATACAAGAATCGACAGCATCAAAGCAGTAAAAAGTTTAGTCACACAAAGTACTTGGAAAACAGTTTTAAACTTCACGATCCTTTCCACATAGGTGAATTATGACCATATATTTCTAAGAACTGGCTTAATTAAGCACCCTATCATTCAAAGACTTCCCCAACAGAGTAGGTTTTAGTTTACATCGTTCTGAAACAACATTTTGCCTCACTTATTGAAGCCAACTCAATTGTTGCAGAATAAAAATCTCTAGTATTCTACAAAAACAGCTCAAAGAATGTAAACCACATTATATTCTAAGTTATCAATGCATGAAAAATGAACAAAGTTTTCCATCACCATAAACAAAAAAACTGAGGAGCATCCTTTATCCAGAGGAACTGAAGAGCACTATCTTAAGAAGAGAATAATCGTTGAATCAACTATCAGTAAAATTTGCATTTTGTATAAGCAAAATATAAGCAAAAAATAAGCCAATACAATATCCTAGATGTTGGCATAGATATATGTTTACAGAGATCAATTTATCTTTCAGTTAAATTTTTGTGGTTCACAAGATACTCGCTTTTATAATTTAATCTCTATTTCTAGGCTGAATTATTATGACTTGAACCAAATGAATTATCATTACTTTTATCAATGGGAGGGGAATATTTTTCAAACTCTGAGAGAGGATGTTCATGTTGACTAGCATGGAGACTGTACATTACATTTCGATTACTGCATTACACAACACACGACATCCCTTTTAGATAAGCAGTAGATTAAAGAATCAGATGTTGCAAATCTTCAACGATCATCTCGCAAATTTTAAAATAAATAGCAAGCAGATTTACATAAGTTATCGAACAGAGAATGGTCAATGTATTGTGTAGCAAGAGAAATCTCTGAAGCAATACAGTGCTTGAGATCTGCCAACTTGACAGTCGGGACACTTGAGAGATGTCGTTAATTTAAAATTAAAAGAAAATAGATTTGGTGAACCATGGCAAAGTTGTACATAGTGAAGAACCTCAAAAGTTACAACCCCGATAGGCTTGGTAGGTCACTTACAAACCCTGCTCGCCAAAGTGTGATATTTACCTGCCCATAGGCTAGGACTGTGGCATTGTAACCATCAAGGCATCTGCAGTAAAAAAAGAATACTCTTTTCAATAATCTTGTAGAGTACATTTTTGAACATGTACAGCTGACAAGGTATTAAATTTGGCACTCATCGCTGAATTGCCGTGTAGAGGTTTAAGATGCAAAAGAAAATCGCAGTTGGAGCGTAACATAGACTTAAACAATTAAAACTTTCCGACAGAAAACAGTTAACTTACCCCTCAACCAGTCCTCGGAGGCACTGCTCATAGATCATAAATTGTTTACTCTCAATATCGAACACATGATCGAATGTAAAGGCCTTGTCTTTGCCAAGAACGACTTGTGGATGACCACGGGTAACGCAAGTACAAACCCTGCACATGTCGATTCTCTCCGCAGCGCTTTGAGGACGAATCCTACAAGAGGAGAGAAACAAAAGCCCGAAATAAATAAAAAACGCGTTACAGAGTGCTTGGCAGGGTGTCTATATCGTTTGATCGAGTAATATACTAGCTGTGGATTGCGAGAAATCATCCTTTCTGTCATAGCTTGACGGCCTCGAAGACACTTACCTCAAAGCCACTCGAACGGATGTTTCGTCTTCCATGATTTAAAATTCTCTTTGACTGGTCAAACAGCACAAACCGGCAACAATCGGCGTGTGTTTATCTCTATCGCCAGCACCGCAGCGATAGACTACTCCATTCATATTCTATTTCTCACCGGCACGGCTACACAAAAAAATTGCGTTCGAAGAAAATCTCACACGGAGGAGTCAGTTGCAAACGTTGTTGTTGGCTCACGCCATAAACCGTTAAATATTGCTGCTGTTAGATATAAAGGTTCAATACGTAGGGGCCATTGTCAAAGGCTTTCAATACCAGCGAAATGGACAGGACAGGTAAATGCGCTTCGCTGCTTGAGCGATTTCTCACGAATATGAATCTCATTAGATTTTCATTCGCCTTTCCAATACAAAATGGCCGCCAAGCGCTTTAACATTGACACTGAAGAACTGTGGGATTGCAAAGGGATTCCTCGACCAATAAGGTTTCCTTATTCGAAATACCGCGCTTTTGGCGGGTAATTTGGTGATGACGTCAAATCGTCTGGAAATGACCGGAAAGTTCTTTATCAGCAATCAAAACAACAAAAAGTGGATTAGTTTGTTACGTTTCTACGAGAATGTCTGTTCATTATGCAGGAAATAACCGCTAACAATTCCCGTAGTCATCTCAATTACACGAAAGCAGCACGTACTTTTAGAAGTAGAATGCCTTTCATTTGGTAAAAATGTAATATTAAAGAAGCTATACGAGTACTTTGTTTTTGCTGTCAGAATATTTATATTTAATTTTAAAATTTAAAGAATAAAAAAGCTCTACTTTAAAACATGCCATTCTTCGTCTGCCTTTTTTCATTTCAAAAACATGGCAAAAAACACGCCGCACAGTTAAATCGAATGAGGCTTTCCCTATAAATTATTCAAATTATCGGCTAGCTACCCAACAAAATATTGCACAGCGTCTAATAAATAATTTAACGACTAACTTTGACAACCACATAAAAATACATTAGATCTTTTTTGCTAGTACTATAGCTCCGTGGAATTCGAGGTCAGCGAGACTTCATAATCGATGAAAAGCTTGTAAAGAAACCATTAAGTCCTTTTATATTTTCAAAGGTATTTTTTGGAAGCTGGCGGTTTTCCCGAGTAACAAAGGCAAACTTGGAAACCACACCGTTTGCCCAGAATTTTATACATTAAGGGGAAAAGTCATAATAAATTTCTCGTTATTTTCAAAACACCTTGTAACCAGGGCAACCAGAGCCGGTAAATTCGTACAGAAAAAAATAATAATAATAAAATAATAATAATGAATAAAATAATGTATGTATTCTCAGTAAATGTTTAAACCTAGCTAACCGCAAGGTTTTTTTTTTGGTGAAATCTTGAAATATCGTCTGCGCTTAGAGCTGTTCGCTGCGGACTTGAAGGCATTTACCAGATCAATTTATAAACGCCTTTATTAGATATGGTATTTGTGCTGGGTTGATTCACAGATCAATCAGCTTGAATAATAAATGGCACTCTTTCGTGTCCGCTTGTTTCAGATTTTCAGTCTGTGTGCGAGAAAGCTGGGCTCACTTGACCTAAACGTTTAGTATGTATCGATATGTATGTCAAGAAATTAAACCTCAATAAGGTTCCTTACATGGACCCTCTGACGAGACCGGATCGGAATGTTGTTTTTGATCAATGGAAATTTTCGCTTTCAAATTAGCCCACGCCGATACCTTTAATTAATTCGGGCCATTCTGTAACATGGAAGATTGTTGCGTCTTTTCTGGTTGTCGTTTTATCATTTTTATGAGCCAAACTGCATGAGTTTTTCATCACCAAAAACTAACTTATTTTATCGTTAACATGTACACAAACCCCCCAGCCACGATAACTCAGAAGTCGCTATATATATATGGGGGCTTTGATTCAGACGATCTGTTTGAAAGGGTAGGGGTTCGGCAAAATTCAGTGTGGAGAGGTTGCTTTGTCATTTTTGGGCGCTCGGCCTAAGAGGGAAATATGAGAAATCAGAGTCGGAGTGAAATCAAGATGGAAGTTGAGGTTGTTCTTGTCGTGTCTTCTTTTCTTGATTTCTTGAGTTAGAATTGTCCGCCACCTTTCCCACTCCCGTCGCGCATTAAAGCATGCTACTGTTAATGCTACTAGCTACTGTAGTCTGGGTCAATTCTCGTCCTCAGAGCCACTCGGCGGAGCCCCTCGTTTCAAGACCACGTGACCAAGAAAAGCCGGGCTCTGGGGACGAGAATGGGTAGTAGGCATGGTCTCTGAAATGGCTAGAGATCAAGATGTCTCTAAAATAATTTTTCGTTTTAAAGGATGTTGGAAATGATTTTTAACTATAAATTATTTCCACTCTAGGTTAAGAAAATTCAGAAATCATGTGAAAACTCTCCTTAGATATTAATATGTCCTTATTTATTCATTCAATCATAAATTCATATATTCATTGCCTCCTTTCAGACCTACAGTCTCATCGATTGGGACCTATAACTATGAACTAGCTAAGTATCTATGCTCTCTATTACAACTCTATATCCCTACTAATTATTGTGCTCAGGATAGCTTTACTTTTGTTAATGAAATCCAAGATATACCTTTATCGGGTAATTTTATGGTTTCATTCGACGTTGAAAGTTTATTTACCAACATACTCTTGGATGAGTGTATTGATCTAGCGGTTCGCTACATAAAGGAGGATAAAACTGACATTAAGTTAAGTGCCACCGAGCTTAAAACCCTTTTATGTTTTGCCACAGCCCAAACTCATTTTTTGTTCAAAGGTTCTTTTAATGATCAGGTAGATGGTGTGTCTATGGGCTCGCCCCTTGCCCCCGTCTTAGCCAACCTTTTTGTGGGGCATAATGAGAAGGATTGGATAGAAAACTGCAAGGGCTCTAAGATTTTGTTCTGTCGAAGATATGTCGATGACACTTTTTGCGTATTCGAGAGGGAGCAAGATGCTGTTTCCTTTTACAATTACATCAATTCCCAACACCCTAACATACGGTTTACTATGGAGAGGGAAGTAGATAACAAGTTAACTTTCTTGGATGTCTTGGTCAATAACAACCCTCTTAATCTCCAGACATCTGTTTTCCGTAAGAAAACTTTCACGGGACTCCTAACCAACTATTTTAGTTTCACTTCATTTTCCTACAAAATGGGTCTTGTTAGAACACTGGTGGACAGGGTTTACAAAATCAACAATTCTTGGCTAGGCTTTCATAAGGATGTATATATATATATTTTTGTTCTCATAACATTTTGTGTTATAACCATTGTAATTATTTCAATTTTTACAATGTTCTTCCTTGTATTAAGTGTAGTGCTCGCGTAAGTATTATTCCATGTCTCGCGCATCTTAAAATTAATTGTACGTTAATTTTTCGAAATTTTGATTGTATCACGTTTTAACTTATACGTCATTGCTTGTATTAATTCAACCGAACTTTCAAACGAATTCACAACTGAAGATGATCGTTGAACGATCGAAACATGTCTTGTTTTAAACTTAAAGTTGTTGTCCATTTCTTAAAAATTCATATATGCATTTGTTATTATTCAGCGCAAGACCTAGGGTTAGTATAGGGAAATACTGTATCAGGGAGCTCGAGCAACCACAACATGAACAGAAGCAAGAAAACGTCACTTGAAAAGTGGATTTGTAAACAGACCTGCCCAACCAGATCAATACTTCCTTATGAGGAGTATTAAAGGGGTGATAAAGATTACTGCTACTGTTCCCAAACCTTACCCTTACCCCCACCCTCACCTTTACACTTGGTCCTAACCTCGTACCCAACCTCTTGCTGACGAAGCCGAGGGCGAGATCTGGTCAAGAAAGAAAATTCATTTTTTTTGATAGCGTAACCCGATACCTAAGAAAATTAATCTACGTAATCTGCGTAGTAATCTACGCATCCGAGACTTTTTGCTTATAACGTGACCGTACGTCCGCCCGTCCGTTCGCACCACAGGCATACCAATGCAAAATAACTCTATTAACAGGTATGGCAACCTAAATGCAACTCGCAGTTACTTTGGCGGGAAATCGCACAGCCACCCGCGTCTTGTAAAGCAGAGAGAACTAAAGAGTCAATAAAGACGAAAACGGAAAGCACTGCTGCTTTTGCGTTGGTGCGGTTCCCTTGTTGAAGTTGTCAAGTAACAGACTGATCAGAGAATCGGCAAACGTCAAAGTCCTTTCTTTTATCGGAAGTGATAAATTTAAAGAATAAAGAATAACGTTTCTGCCTGCTTATTATTAGTCGTCAGGAGCCTGCGTAGCAGGCGTCGAAAGGGGTAGGGGATAGGGAAAAAGGGAAAAAGGGAAAAAGGGAGGGGGGTAGGGGAGAGAGCTTTTCTTCGTGCTTTTCTCCCTCCCCCTCTCCCGCCCCTTTTTACGCCTGCCACGCAGGCTAAGTCGTCAGGTACTTTCTTAAAAAAAAAAAATCACGTAAAGCTAAGAACTAAATTCAATTCTCCAATGTCAACCTTCTCCCCAGGGCTTTTCCCTTAAAAAATGGGTGGGGCGCTTGGAAGTAGAGGGCACAAGAAAAAAAAGGGAGCAGAGAAGGAGACACTACTTCCAAGCGCCTGCTACGCAGGCTAAGGTCAATGAATTTTTTAAAAAATACAGGTCATACTAGGTAAGTCTAAACCAACGCGTGTCGCTATGATATGGCTGAGAGTCAAGGTGAATAGAACTAGGTTGTGTACGGCGGTCCACTTCGCAAGAAATAAATAAAATATCAAAAGAGTCGCGAGAACGGACTTTTCCATGCCAGTACAAACTTTATGCATGTACGATAGCTTGTTTGTCATTTATATCGCTCTATAAAGGAAATCGCTCTATAAAGGAAGTTTTACAAATGTTACCGCTCGCTGTCTCCTTCATAGAAATCGGAGGAAAGCAAAAAATTACCATAGCCAGTATCTGTGACAAAAAAGAAATCTTGTAAAACTTTTCGTTACTCGTCAAGAGATATAAAAGGCCGCCCAAGATCGCGCGCTGTGAGTTTACGCATAAATTTTAGCTTTTCACATAGCGCTAATTTATTACACCCAGGATTTTAGGGTGTACGACGGGACACGTGACCAGCCGATGCCAGGGCCTTTTCCCGCCCCACCGCCCCCCCCACCGCCCCACCCATTTTTTAAGGGAAAAGCCCTGGGGACGAGGTTGCTCCAATGTGTGTTCTTGAGATTTTCGAATTGTTGCTTCCGACAAATGTATTATTTAAGGGTTTGAGGTCAGTAGTGGCAGTCGCCAAATTCGTGTTTTGAAATTGCACCGGAAGTCAGATATTAGCCTGCGAGCAAGCTCTTTCTGTTTGGACGAGTAAACGAGCGAGCGGCGAAACCGCGAGGGGCCGAGGAAAGGAGACGTTCGCGTTCTCGCGAGGCTCACTTCGCTTACCTAAATAGGAGAGCTTGCTCGCAGGCTAGTCAGATATGCAATCACATGCCGACATTTAAAATCAATATGGAAATTTCGTTTTTGATATTTTATTTGATATATTTTCAACTGATCCTCGATCCTTGATCCGGTGATCCGGTGATCCTTGATTCTTCTCTTTCCGCCCTGCCAACTGTGACCCCACCCTCACCCGTAACACTTGGTCCAATACTTTCGCAAGCACGCAGGCTGGACGTCGATAACATGTTCGCCTTTGGACCGAAATCTTCTCTGGCGGACGAGATAACTGAAATTCGTGTCACGCATTTAAAACTGCTGCAAAGTATTACTCTTGAGGCGAAGTTATTCGGCGATAAAGGCGAATTGTTCGAGTCATACGCTCATTATGTTGCTGATAAAGACGGCAATGTCGATGTTGGCCACGACCTGTCCATAGGTGGATCTTACAGTGGTGTTGAACCCATGGGGTTGATATGGAGCATGAAGCAGGCACCAGGGCAAAAGAAAGGAATCCGACTTTTTAAAAGAGATGTTACTTTGCCGTTTGATATTATCGTGAACTGTTTTGATGGTCATGTAATTCCACGCGAAACATCGCTGCAGCCATTGTCAAGCGGAACATTTCAAAAGTCGTACATGGCGGATGGAGTAAAGAGAGTTCCTGTAAGAGAAGGGAGAATCCGTGGGACGTTGTTTCTGCCACCGGGTGATGGACCATTCCCAGGTATTTTCATAAAAGTGGTCTGCTGACAATATTTTGTTTTATACATTTTTTTAATTTGAGCATGGATTGCAATCACAGGCAACCCGAGCTCAGAAATCATTAACATGTATGGTTGTATGGTATCATATTGCATAATTCTTACTAAAGATACGAGTATTGCAGAACCTCGTGACGAAGCATCTGCCATATTGCTTTTGGTATGTTTGCATGAGGTCTGGGTCAAAGTGACCTATGATTGGTCAACGTACTTGTGTTTATGCTTGTCCTTATGTTGACCCTGTTTTCACTAGTCAAAGCTACAACATAAGCATAAGCACAAGAAGAACGAACTTGTCCATTTTTCTTGTGCTTGTGCTTATGGTTATGCATGGGCTAGTGAAAACCAGGCTTAAGGAAGCTTCATAGGGTCAAATGGGGTGAACACGGGATAGGATCTCCTACATGTATAACTATGGTCAAAAGGAAATGGGGGTGATGGTGGACAACTGCCAGCTAATATACACTTTCATTTGCTTAACTAACCCTTAAGTGCAATAAATTATTTGTGAAATAACATAACTTTATTATTTATAAAGTGCATATTTGTGGTCGCTGTAGCCTCTGTCTCTGGTTGACAGCATTTGCCTTAATTTACTGTGCCATTGCTCTCGCTGTTTTCATGGCAACGTTTTTGCTCTTGCCGAGTTTTGTTGGTAAATCTTTCTCGGCAAGGATTTCCATCCATTTGTTGAATCCACCATTGCCGAGTTTGCTCTTTTCTTTCATTTGCCTGAGATATTGGGTGTTGCTCACTGACCATAAGTTACATTATTATATGTACTTGTCGTTGATGGCAATCGGTTGCCTGGAAACCCATAATGCACTTTGACCTCACTACTCTGGATGACGTCAAGGCAGACACCAACCAAACTGGATAGATTTATAGCAAAGAGAAAATCACGCATGCCTTGCAATAATATGCTTTTGGGATCATATCTTTTATCGCAAGGAAAAATGGCCATGAATTTAAAGGATGTTTGGGAATACAGGGAATAGATTTAAGAAGATCAATGCTGGCTTGCGATTTCCTTTAGCCCCGGCCTTTACCCCTGAGTTAGCTTGGGGGTACTTTTATTTGTTAAAGCAGGTTGAGGCTTAACACAGTCATAGGCTAATGTGGCTCCACTATCTTATTATTTAAAAAACAAAATAAAATAATGAAATAAAAGTATGTACAATTGCAATAAGTGAATAACTAAAAAAAATTAGATGGTGCTAAATATATAGGAATATTATAAAATCGTTACTTTTCTTTGCTATCATAGCTGGGGTTTTAAATGAAAATTCTTCAAAAATATAATTTATTGAGAAAATCTACATAATATCTGTTTAACGGTCCTTTTCAGTTGTTTCACTTGAATTTAAAAAAGGCAATGTCTAATCTCCCTTACCTGAATGAAGCAGAAAATACAGTTTGTCAAATGATCGAACTAATAATCAGAATAACCACTACCTTGGTAATGAATTGACAGCTGAGATAATCTGAAAACAGAATGTCACATTTCCAGAAAAAATTGTCAACCACTGGCAAAGGTTTAAAATCGTGTCAACCTTTAAAAATGAAGGAGTACACTTTAAAGCCACAAAAACTTTAGAATCTACACAACTGTACATACAGGAAACCTCTACTAAAGAACATTTCTAACACATTGTCACTGTAATTTAACACATCTTTTCCTTTAATTTTTGCATCTTTGCCTCATGAAAACACCCTCTTCACCAGAGATGACCTAATTAAAAAAGTGTAATAAAGTATAGAAACGCAATGATAATTAGACTCCACAAATTCTTTAACCCTATTTAAAACGTTTGTGAATGTTACCAACGTGCCCAACTTTTAATATCATAAACAGATTTTTAATCGATTCATGCATGAGCTGGCTCACAGAGTCTTTTATTTAAACAATTTTTTAAGTGCAGAGACCCAAGCACAGTTCACTACCAGTAATAGGGTGCAAAGAAAGTCAGTTTTAAAGCTCACCCCTTGGGCAAGCTGTAGCTAGCATGTACTAGCCCCAAAGTCATTTTATTTAGTTGAAAGGAGTTTTGATGAGCAGGATTGACTGCAGTTCTTCCGTCATTTGAATTCCCCAAAAAACTTAGCCTGCGAGCAAGCTCTCCAATTTGACAAGCGAAGCGAGCCTCGCAAGAACGTGCGAGCAAGGGGCCGAGGACTCCTTTCCCCTCCCCTCGCGGCTTTGCCGCTCGCTCGCGCATTCTCACGAGACTCGTTTCACTCGCCCAAACAGGAAAGCTTGCTTGCAGGCTACAAAAAAACTTCACTTGCCCGCGAGGCAATTAAGTTAAGAACGCAGTTACTTGATAGCAAAATCCACTAACCCCAGGCAATCAGACACTGATAACTTCCTTTGCACGCTGCAGTAATAAAGATTTTTTGGGCTTTTGCCAAATCAGGGTGACGAATTTTTGAAAGGAATACATGAAGGGAATAGAATGTCTGAGTCTTGGTGGAATTTCTACAGTTACACTTTCCTCAAACATAATAAACTAGGTTCTAAGGTTGTTTTTTTAAGTGTATTGATGCAAGTCCTTTTTTGTTGTACACTGTAGGTATAATGGACCTTTTTGGAGCATTACCAGCAGTCATTGAATTCAAGGCCTCCTTGTTAGCTTCTCGTGGATTTGCTGCCTTAGCAGTGGCCTATTATGAGTATGATGATCTGCCTTCATCCTTAAGTCCATATGTTGAGTTGGAGTACATTGAAGAGGCAGCAGAATGGTTGTACCAACATTCTAAGGTCATACCAGGTGGTATAGCACTTCATTCTCATTGCTTTGGATCGTGGCTTGCTTTGCTTCTTGCAAGTTATAGGACTGATCTAGTCAAGGCTGTTGTTGCAATAGCACCAATTTGTTGTGCTTTTGGAAATACCGCATACAGGTACAAAGGGAAGCTGTCAAACGTGTACAGCTACTCAAAAGAGGCCTTGAAAGTTACAGATCAGGGAGTGATTGTCAGATTTTGTTCTGCAACATTCAAGGAAACAACCAACCCATTGGCAGACTTTCCGGCAATGACTCCAGTGGAAAATATTTCATGTCCTGTTTTGCTAATTTATGGCACAGAAGATTTGAACGTGGATGGCAAATTAAGTTCAGGGTACATATTAGACCAGTTAAAAGTAGCCGGCAAGGAATCTCTATGCACTGTATTGCAATTGCCAGGTGCTGGCCATATAATTGATCCACCCCATTCACCATTATTCTATTTAACCTACAGCAATCAGTCCAAAATGTTCATTGCGTGGGGTGGGCAAGTCAAGTCTCATGCAATGGGCCAGGTGATTTACTGGGACAAAACTTTACAATTCCTGAAGCAAAATCTAATGAGGAACGTTAAGAGCAATTTGTAGAATGCGAATCTATACTTTTTTTTAACTCCTGGGGCCCGTACTTGAATGTCCTGGAAAATAATGGGCCCAGAAAGGTGTTGTCGTTTGCATACAAGATAAAGGTTTCAATTTTTTGGATGGTAACATGATAAAACAATCAGCTTATAAGACAAAATGAACTGGTTTGTTTCCTAGGACCTGCACTCTGAGTCTTCAGATTTTGATTTGAATATTTGATTTTTGACCTAAAAACAACAACAACAACAACAACGAAACTTTATTAATAAACAAATAAGATTACAAAAGTATTGCCCGCAGGTAGCAAGGCTATTCGAGGCGGGACAATATGCGTGCAAAATATAAGAAATAAAGACTAAGGCTATTAACTAAGGAAAGTTTACAGTTTACAAATAAATGAAATAAAAATCGTAATATGGATGAGGACTAGATAACAGACTAAAGGAAAAAAAAATTAAACAAATAAATTGTAAAAGTAGAATCTAATAAGCAAGAATTTATTTTTCGACATTTTTGGCTAATTTTACCTTTTTAATTAAGGTGGGCGTATCAATATAGTCATCTTCTAAATTCAGAATATCAAAAAGTAATTTGTGGAGTGTTTTTTTGAACTTATTCTTGGGGAGATGTCGAATGTTACAGGGTATCTCATTCCACAGCTTAGCCCCAAAGCGAGAGAAAGACAGTTTACATAACTCTAGATCGGAACTGTTAACATAAAAATTTCCTGATGCCGATGGTCTTGTATTGTAGTAGTGGCAGCTACTTGTTTTTTGAAATAGATTTAAAATGCCAGAAGGTACCATATTGTTATGGACATCATGCATAAGATTTAATATAAGAAGTTTAAGGGTAAAACCTTTGGCGTCAATGTAGAGAGGTATAGACCTTGTCACGGTTTTCGACGCCATCTTGACGCATAGGCAAACGCGTGAGAAATTACAGTGTTTGTATGAGAATCTAATGTCGAATAATTTCCGTAAAACGGCTCTTCTGAAAAAAATATGATTTGTAAACCAAAGCTTCGCTCCTAAGGATTCTACTGAAAAAAATTAAGGGCGTTACATGCACTAGAAGACCTAGAACCACTTTTAAATTTTCTATACATTTTTTGTCTGTAAGAAAGTCCCGGTAAAATTACAGACAATTTTATAGAAAATCTAAAGCAAGCCTCTAGAGAAATTTAAGCACAGGTACGCCCCCAAAATTGTTTAGGACAATCCTTTGCTTTGTAGCTTTAGTTTACAACTGAAATTTTTTTCAGAACAGCCGTTTGTGGAAATTATTTGACATTAGATTCTCATAAAACACTGTAATTTCCGACACATTTGCCTACTCGTCAAGATGGCGTCGAAAACCGTGACAAGGTCTATTGCGTGATCGCGTCTATCCAAGAAGTTTATTATCCGAAGAGCTCTTTTTTGTAGCAATAGAATTTTATTGAGATGTGTCTTTGCTCCCAAGCAGCCAGTCCATATATAATATACGGATAAATAAGTGGTTGATAAATGTTTAGAAGAATTTGTATAGCCGGGGTACAAAATGACGCGATTTCGCAAGTAAGCCAACCGTTTTGCTGATTTTTAAAGAGACAGTGTCGAAAGGGCCATTTATACGAGGAAAAATACTGGACCATTTATACGAGCATGTCTTATAAGCCGAAAACAGCTCGTATAAATGGTTCGCGTCTTATTTCTGTTCTTGACTCGTTTTCAGGTGAATGAACTGAGCTTACTTTTTAAGTGTAAGTTTATAATACGAAGATAGCAATCAGGGCCCAGTTGTTCGAAGGCCGATTAGCGCTTAACCCGGGGTTAAATTTAACCCGGGTTTCTTTTTCTCATGTTCAAAAGATTTTTTTCGGATAATTTTCTCTGTAATTTTTAGAACTTCCAACCATCAACTTGTGGACAAAAAGAATTAAAACTAAAATGCTTTTCAAGCTTTCAAATCTGAAGTCAAATCTCGCACTAACCCTGGGTTATCTTAACCCAGCTTTGAACAACTGGGCCCTGATTAGTAAATATAAATTGTGATTGTTTAAAGTTAAAAGTAAAAGGGTCTACTTACACCAGCATAATACATAATAACAAGAAATCCTTTTCCTTCGCGATGGACAAAGTGTTTCTTTTTGCCTTTAACGGCGAGCTCATTGTAATTGAGCGAAGAAAAAATTAAGCAAAATTCATAAGAAAACGAGAACGCGTTGTATTTGTAAACAACTTTTCCTCGCCAGTAGCCTGCAAGTCCGCCGCGGGGCAAGCGATAATTTTCCCGCCAAAAATTAACGCATGCGTACTATGCGTTCGCGTCTTGTGTAAGACGCGAAGAAGTTTTTCTCGTCTTAGCTAAGACGCGTCTTATCTAACAGGTGTTAAGGGCTGTTCTAAAATAAGAAGCGTCTTAGCTAAGTCGCGTCTTATTTTAGACGAAATGTGCCGTTTATACGGAAAGTTCGCGTCTTATTTTCCCTCGTATAAATGGCCCTTATATGATGTTTCCAGGTAAGGTTTTTATCAATCAAAATGCCAAGATATTTAATATATTCCTTGGATTCTAAGGAAAGCAGTCCACTTCATGCTGCATGATCTGGTCTGTGCTAGTCTTGAGGGCACAAGCAAGTAAGACGTCTCTGACGACGGTCTCCTCCACCTTTGTAACAGCCTTCAGGCGCCTGAGGTTGAACAGCCCGTCGTCAGTCATGATCTGACCGTTATTCCGTCCTGGCAGTCGTGAAATTCAGTCAGCATAGCCGCGAATACATTACTGAAAAGCGTCGGAGAGAGAACGCAGCCTTGTTTCAAGCCGTTCAAGCCGTCACTGGCTTTTGTCTCCGTTATCCACAACCTTAACCATCATGCCATCGTGAAACTGTCGAACGATCGTTTTGAACTTGCTGGGACAGCCAAAATTTTCCATTATCTCCTACAAGACGTCTCTTCGCACCGTATTGAAGGCCTTGGTCAGATCAATGATGGTCCCAAAGAGGTCGCTATGCTGCTCCCGTCAATTCTCCTAGAGCTGGAGTGAGGCGAATATCATGTCGGCATGCAGTTCGACGTTGTGAGCGGAAACCACACTGGTTTTCTGGTAGGAGACCCTGCAAGATGTTGGATGAGGCGGTTAAGCAGGATGCGGGCCAAGATCTTGCCAGCAATTAATGAGTAAGAGAGAAATATTCAGTGATTGTGACAAGACTGGCGGTTGCCCTTCCTTTTGTAGATGTGGACTATATCGGCATCTTTGAGCTGTTGGGGGACCTTCCCTTCATTTCACGTAAACTGAAATAGCTCTGCCAGTTTCTGCATTATGATTGCGCCACCTGCTTTGTACACTTCAGCATGGATTGCGTCTGGTCCTGACGTTTTACCACATCAAAGTTTTTTTTTTTCTATGGCTTTCGGACTTCTTCTTCTGTGGGCAGCTTATTAAGGTCCTTTTTGATCTCCAATTATGGCCTCTTCATCGATTTGAGCAGGGCGGCTGAGAACCTGATCAATGTACAGCCATCTCTCCAAGATCTGCTTCTTCTCAGTCAGCAGTTGATTCCCATCTGCAGTGAGGAGGGGGGGAGGAGCAGAGGGCTGTGGTCTATAAACGGTTTTCAAAGTATCATAGAAGTGCATGGTGTCATAACTGTCTGCGTAGCTCTAGATTTCATCGGCCTTCTCGCTATACTATGCGCCCTGCATCACGCGAAGGTTCTTCTGCACCTTTCCTTTAGCGTTTGCAAAGACATTTAGAAGACAATAACCAGAGTAAAATCCGAAGTGATAGAAGAGGCGACGAAAGAATGAAATTCGAAGAAAAAATACAGAATGGAGAATAGAGCTAATATATAATGGAACTAATTACGTTAGTTACATTTGTACCTATTACTTTCTTTCGAGATTTTGATTTAGGGTCCTGTCTAGTTAGCCAACCAAAATTAGCAATTGGATGAGGCTGAGTGTGATATGAAAAATTTATGCAGGTGGCAATCGAGCAGGGTGTTATTAGCCGAGGCGGATGACAACCTCCGAGTTCTGCATAATCCTAATCATACGAAACCTGAACCTAATAATTGTTTTTATTATTCATTTCAATCGTTTTTAACGTAAAAACACCCTTACCTCGAGCTCCCGTCTTCGTAACATTTTATACCTGTTCCTGGGAAGGGCATAAAGGGATTTTTAGTCAAAGAGCAATTGTCATCCGTCTACTTTCAGTGCTATGTTTTTAGGTAGAAGTTCGGCTATTTCTTCTTCGCAAAACAATTGAATTCTCCAGGTCTACTACACCAACACAGCTGAGGTTACACGCCTTCTGAGTCCTTTTTTTCGGTCGTTTATCAGTAAACTTGGTGTAAATGGTAGTAATTTCTTCTCTTAATCATAGCTGCTTCAGTAAATAAAAAATCATATAATAGAGAGCTTAAGCAACGAGGACGACGACCGCGGTGAAAACGTCGGCTACAAAAATTAATTTGCGGTCTTTTCAAACTTAATTGCGTCTCGTGATTTGGACCCTCTCAGTTTGTCAAATCTACGCGACTTTTCCTGGTTTGGAATTCCTAAGGAATTTATTCGAATTCAAAATAGAAAAGAAAAATTCGTCCTCGCATGTTCACGTCCTCCATAAAACTTGGCATTGGGAAGTTTCACGTCTTTGTCGAGCATGTGGACGTCAAAGAACAAAGAAATGTACTAAAAAGCGTGATGCACATGAAGAGCTGTTGTCTTGTTCATCAAACCAATTGTTTTTGAAGTTGTCGTTGTCGTCGTCGTCTTGAAAACCGGTAAACGACGATTCCTTTCCGGCATCTTCTCATTTTTCCTAGCCTACGAGTAAGTTCTTCATATGGCATCTCGCCTCCCTCGCTATAAGAGCCCCCTGACAGGCTACATCTTTCCACAATATTAGAATCGATCACGTGTGCCAGTTTCCTGTCTTAATCCAGTCTTTTTACCATCCATGAAATCAGAAATATGATTTCGGATCAGAAATCTCACAATTTTATCGCCCTCCCCTTTGATCCAGTAGACGGTTTGTAAGAAAGTGGAACCGCAAAGAATCTCTATACGTATATGCAATGAAATAGAAATTCACCATTTTCATATTCACCATAATGCACCTTGTTAACCCCCAAAATTTTGTATAACCATTGTTTCCAGTTTCTCCTGGGTATGACAGTCGTCCCAAGAAACATCGAAGACAACAGTTACGCAAATTTCTTTGGGGGTAAACAAGGTGGATTATGGTCCATATGAAAAGACAGTGCGATTTGTGAATAAATCACACTGCGGAGAGCCGGTCAGATTTGCTTAAAATAAAATGAGAAGTGCTACCTCGTTTCCAGCAGGGACGGTTAGGAGAGAACCCTGCAGGGAACGAGGTTGTGATAAGTGGTGATTTTACTAATCGTGATATTGATATCAAGGTTGGTTTTCGTGACCTTTCGTGACATGTCGTTTTGGATTCAAAACCGTCTGCGAAAAAGTAAATTAAAATAATTGACGAACACTGTCGTAAGAGCAAAGCTACTAGCTCTACTTACAGCTGCGTCGACAGAACCCCGTTTAAACTTTTCACTTGCAGAAACATTTCTGTTAGCGCCGGCCAGCTCTATTTCCGGACACTTTTAGGTGTCCACCCTATTGAGGGTGCTTCGTCATATGATATCTTAGTGATTTTCTTTGCCGTGTTAGGGGAATACAGAGGTATTGAGTTTGCGAAGGCCATACACCCAAAGGGTCAGGTTTACCATCTAAAAAATTGGAACATTATGGTATTGTTCATGATTGTTTTGAAATGGTCTATTACTAATTATTCCTAGGAAGTCTTAAGCCTTGTCCGCACTAATGCGTTTTCAAAAGTATGCGTTTTTCTTGTCATCGAAAACACATCGATCGATTTGCGTCCACCCTGCCGTTTTGATGCATTTTCGAGAGTCTAAACTAAAACATTCGAAACTGATAAGAATTGCACGCTGTGAAGTAAAATTGATTTGGACCCATGCCCCCATGCTGCAAGAGATTTTCTGTCATCGTTCATTTTGATTCGTTTTCAACTGTCCACACTAACTTGATATGTATGCGTTTTCGTTTTGATCAACTTTCAAGAGCGTTTTTAAATTGTTGCGTTTTCGATCAAAACGCTCAGCGTATTAGGGTGCATGGTCGGAAGGCCTAAACGTATCGACATGTATACGTTTTCAAACGAAAATGCATTATTGTGGAGAGAGCCTTAGTTAGCAAGACGGCAAACAGCAATTTCTACCACGTGACCAAGTTTTCCCTTTCCTCGTCATTTGTTACATTTAATTGAAAATTCAAAATAAGAAGTTTCACGGCCAGATTCATTCAAAACATTTGTATGGCATAATCTTTAATTGTCAGCTTATTCCTTATTCGTGAAATGGTCAGCTCAAATCTGACGTTTGTCGTTTGCAGTAAAGGTGAATCTGAATTTCTCAAGTCTTTTTGCATGGCATAGTACGCATTGCCACACTTTCTCACCGCAAAACGTTTAGCAACGAAACTGTTAATGTTGTTAATGTATTTCCTGTCCATCCGGTTAAAAGACTTAAAATGTTCTTTCCTTTTTTTACCTCGATGAAAGACAGGCAAAGATCTGAGCAAGCGCGTTCAGTTACATAAAAGAGCGCCGGATTAGAGGAAACTATCAGTAGTGATACGCTTGGTTTCTCTCGGAGCATATGCTTGTGTTTTTCCCGATGATTACATAATGTCCGTGAACCCGCCTCCAGTTTAACGGCGATTAGCTGTCCTGCCATTAGTCAGACCGCAGGAACCCGGCGTGTAAGTCACGAACAGTTAAAGTCTTTCCGCTATTTTCAAGGGCTTGATCTCTTGTTAAAACTGAGCATTGCTTTCTTAGTCAATGCTAACATGAAATTGCTTCTTACTAAGGCTATAGTACGAAACTGTGTGCGGAAACTAAAAGTCAGGCTTTCAGATTTCCTGATACGAAACTGACACCAATTTTGTTTACATCCTTGCCGAACTAAATGTAGGGTGTATTTACCTAAAGACTTGAATAAAAACTTTCGACAGATTTAATTTTCGTCTCTATTTCGTAAATTTAAATGACAAACAAAAATGTTGGTCAAGGTTATAAATTTGCCCTTTCACACAACGTATCCAATGCGATGGGCCAATATCTGGAGTGTGGCAATTTGATAATTTTTTTTGGCGATATATATTGGCTGAATGTACGACGTGGATGTACGTCAAAAGAAAAACAATAAAAAAGGAAGCCGTTAAATTGAGCTTATCTGACTTTTTTCTTCAAACTGATTTTAAGTTAAACTTAAAGTTACCGTGAAACCGAATGCGAAACAAAAGCATCGTTTCGAGTGTCGCGCTTCCACAGTGACATAGCCAGATATGAATAAATATAATTCTATGATCTTTCATCAAAAGAAAATGTAATTAATCGCGATATTATATTGCCCTTTGCGGAAAGCATTATCATTACTGAAATTCCTGATTCGGTCATCTATTCCTCTCAAGCTCTTTCTTCTACGTAGGTCCGGTTGCGGGAAGATTCCCCAGCTTCAAATTGACGTGTCCCTCCCCAGAGAGTAGTATTTTCGCACGTATCCAGGTAGCTGACTGTTAGGGCATGCATGCATGACTTTACGAGTCGAAAGTCAACAAGCAAAGGAAAATGTAGCAACGCTGCATAATTATTCAGTTTAAAAGAGCTTCTAAATCAGACAGGTTCATTTATTTTCGTCGATGAGTATTGCGCTGAGACAAAATGGATGGTCGATATTGAGGCGAGAGTTGTTTTAGATTTTTTAGCAATTAACTCTTGACTAGTACTGCTCACTTGTATGGCTTGCATGTTATCTACGTGGTTTTAACAATGGCAGAAGACCCTAATCAGCTGAAAAACGTGTTGAACGAGCGAGCGGTAGAGCTGTATAACCTGTGCGACCAAGACGGAAAGGGCTATATCACGAAGAATGAACTACAGAGCGTTATCGCGGAACTAGGCCTTCCTCTAGATGCTACACAAGTTAAGCAGACTTTCAATGAACTTGATGAAGATCAGAACGGCTACTTGACTTTAGAGGAGTTCACCGCAGGCTTTGGGTTATTTCTGGGTATTCGCTCAGACGATGAAGGTAATACCGAACTTGAGGAAATCTCGTCAATCAGCGACCCCGGTCGGGAGTTGTTTTACTTGTGTGACCCAGAAGGGAAGGGCTACATCACGAAAGTCGACTTGGAACGGGTCGCCGAGGATCTAAACTTGAATTTCGAACAGCTCGATTTTATTTTCGATAAGCTTGATATTGATAAAAATGGACGACTAACCATGGACGAATTTGTCGAAGGATTTGGGACGTTTCTGAGTGGAGATGGTAAAGGTTCTACAGGACTCGACTCTGCGAAACAAAACCACGATTTCAGCGAAGAAAATTTTACGAAGAGCACATTACAAACGGGACACGATATTTTCGAAAGTTTAGAGACTGGTCTCGCATCGCCGACGCATCCTTCAGAAGAAGCACTCTTTCGGGAAATAGTGGAAAGTGTCGGAGAAGATATATTCACGGGGTAAAGTCGCTATAATTTGTTAATACGATAGATTGCCCTTTTTTATTAGTCACATTGGTTCAACTTTGATTTAATACGGTGTTTTGTTTGAACTTGCGCATATCAAATTTGGCGCCTAGAAGAGCTTACAATAACAACTAAAGCTATTATTATTGTGATTACACGCACTCTGAAATTTGTTTTAAGAAGAGCTTGATAGTAGGAATTGGGAAATTGGTTTCCTCAAGAATAATCACGGGCAACTATGTTAAGTGGGGTTATCGTGTTCTACCAAATCCCCCCGGGTGATGAAATGAAATGTTTGTTTACATCTGTATTTTCCCGCAAAAAATTCGACGATATTTTGATTGTATTTCGAATGGTTGATCGTAAGTGTGATATCGTGTTACATTATGTTATCATCTGTTGCTTTTATTACGCTTAAAGGCATTAAGGATACTTAAAAAATCATCGTTAACAAAAAGCGGAAAAATCTTTGTTATAATTATTCAAGTCGGCATTGTAAACATTTATTGTTGAGTCAGCGTCACATCACATCAAACAAACTAGATGTAATTTTGTCCGAAAAGAGGGCACTATCTTTGATCCACGTGTTTTAACACTACAGGAAAAGGGTAAAATTAAAGCAGTTTTTGTTTCAAATGAGAACTTTCTTCCTGTTGTGTAGAAAAACGGCAATTTTACTCTTCATACTTTCGAGCGGTAGCCATATAATATTTTCCTGTTTGATTAGTGCATTTCTTACTGTCGGTGTAAAAATTGCAAAAAAACATTAGACACCTAAGTATTAATAAACAATCTGCTGCACCTGTTAAGACTAAATCATATCATCCTGATTTCAATTTTTATTCCCACAGAGTAATAATTTGACATGATATTTAAAATCTAATCATCAAGATCTCTATCTCCGATTACCGTATGTAAATGTAATCGCTTATAATATTCCCTTTAAAGATCGATCGCATTTCAGAAAATTAAAAACATTACCGGTCATTCCCTTGTCTAGATCTTTGTCTAAAGACCAGCTGCGTGAGTTGTGGGAGGCCCTTAGGAAAAACGATGTTCACGGATTGCAAAAATTCGAGGAGTTTCTGACGAAAGTTTCCGGAGAGTTAAGACGGGCGAAAATGGATTCTGAACAACTGGAATCTGCTCTGAAAAGGTATGCTAATTACTTGAAATAAAATAGAATATGTTCATTATTAAACAGCCTTGTCAGTGTTTTCTTGTCTCATCTCGAAGCAATTATTTGAGTACATGGTTTACAGGAAAATTTAGTCATATCATTGTTTTGTCTAGAGTGTATTGTTGTTCTTTTCTTGTGATAATATAGGGTATTCATAGACTTCTTTACTTGTAAACCTGGGTTCTCTGTAATGATCTTCATTGCCCTGCATATATTGCCATAAAGATCCTGGAGATAAATTGCATTTGGTTTCCAAAAAATGACTTTGACTCCTGCAAAATTCCTGTGTCCAACAACAAACAGTGTAAAATAATATGTGCATTAAGCCTCCAAAATTAAAAGTGCTTTTTCTTTGTTCTGTTAAAGATGTGTAAAAAAAATTTTGCTAGTGTGCATTGCTAACATTTGCTAGTGACCAAACAAATTTGCACAGTTAGGATTAGAATTCAATCACTTGTTTTGCTCTGAGGCAAGAAATTTTGTAAACAACACTCGTCTGGTACTGTGACATTGTTTTTTTACAGTCAAACCAGGTCAAGCGTACCAAGATCAAGCATAACCCTGTCCCCATAGTTGTTTGAAGAGAAACATATTCTTATCCACTTGTCGTTCGGACAAGCAGTATGTTAAAGTTTGCTGCCCGAAACCTAAGAGTACTTGATTGTCCAAAAAGTTGTGCTCAAAAACAATGGGGCATTTAATCACATTATTAGCCTTGTAAATTGTTCTTGACTTAAACCTTGCTTTTATGACTAATAACATAAATTTATATTCTACTTTAATTTGAAGTCAATTTTCAACTGTCCCTGTATTTTTTCTTATTAAAAATGATCTTGTTCCACGGACAAGTCATGTCAAAGGTTTACATGTTTGAACTAAATTTCTACCTGTCCCGGACAATCGGAGCTAGGTTTTGATGCACCCAGTCCTTCCCATATCTAGTGTCAAATTCAAATCTGCCACATTCTTGTATACATAATGAGCAATGAATTTTTGAATTCTGTTTGGTCAGATTGAAATATAAAATGTACTGATTGAAAAATAAATGAATTTTGAGGCGTATGCTTAACCCAGCTGGATTGCAAAAAAAAAAAACACTTTATAAAACTGTATTAAGAATCCCCCCCCCCCCCCCCCCCCCCCACAACCCCCCCCCTTACATCCATAACTTCCATCTTTTTATTTTTATTTCACCCACCCCTCATTTTTTTTTTTTTACAAAAAATTTTTTTTTTCTTTTGGGTGGGTATATGGGGAGGGTTTAATAGCGGGGGGATTTTTTTTTTAATTTTGAAAAAAAAAAATGGGGGGGGGGGGCAGAAAAAACAAAAAGGAAGAAAATTTTGAAAGAAAGGGGGGGGTGGGTGGGGGGGGGGGGGGGGGGGGGGGATCCTTAATACAGTTTTATAAAGTGTTTTTTTTTCCCCCCCCCCCCCCCCCCCGACTGACCATCCCCACCTTTACTATCAATACTTCTCATCGTTAGTGTTACTGTCGCCACTCCCTCAATTTTGTTTCTTCAATATCATAAGCAAATTCCCATGCAGTTAATACCTACCTCATATTACATGCGATAGTGAAGCATAATTTTGTCGGAAAAACAGAAATTGGTAATAGTGACAGAGTAGCAATGTTCCTATGTTGCCACCTCATTCATTGCTTGTATTTTCTTGAAATCGGTTAACACAATACCATTTTTCACATCTTGCTCAACTTAACTGTCATTCCTGTCTTTTCTCATGGAGAATGGCTCCGCAGCAGTGCTATGTTTTGATTTTAATTTGGTTGCCTGGTAAAAGAAGTGTTTACATGTACATGGCAGGAAAATTTGGGGTGTTCATTCAAAAGTTGGACATTTTGATAAAAATGTTTGTTTCCAGCAGCATTTTCGTTGTCTGACATCCTGTCATTTAATGCCACTCAGGTTATCAAGTGTAGTAATCTGTAAAATTTGTAGAGGAAAGGTATGTGATAGAAATCTCTTGAGGAACGGAAAGTGCTTATTTTAGGGGATTGATTGCCAATGTGGAACACAGCACTACAGAAGAAAAAACGTTTTAATTCATATTATTGACATATTAACTTTCCTGCAATATAACTAATGTATACATTGTAGCCATAACAGTGTGATCCTATTAGTCCAAAGGACAGGAACTCGCAGCAATAGGAGAAAGGAGAACATGGTCCTTGCGCACCCAATTTTTCCCTTTTCCGCCACCCCACCCTTGAGAGTGCATGCCACACCTGAAGTCTGAAGTGTCACCTGTCTCTTCATTTCCCCCACCCCACCTTCCAATGAGCAGTCACTGGCTAGAGAGACCTGGCCTCCCATCATACGTGGTGAAGAGACGGCTATCACTTTAGACTAGCCACACAGGCCATAATTTTATAATTCGCAATAAACAGTCTTTGAGATTTAATCAGTTGTCAGGTTTAAGACTAGATGCAGTCTGCAATTAATGGTGTTAGTGGTTTATTCGGCACTTGCATTACCTTCGTTACTGTGTTACCCTGCCTAGCAGGTACTTAGAAGATATGGGTGCGAGAGAGAACGGGTCGCGCGAAGGAGAAACGCGTGTCCCCCTCGCGCGCGCTACGTTCTTTCTTGCGCCCATATAACAGTACTTCCAAGCGCCTGCTAGGCAGGCTATCACTAGGTTCAAAGATGCCTTAATAAAAAGACCAAACACCCAAGAAGTACTAATGATATCTGGTGTACATTAGGTACTCTTTTTTACGTAAATATACTGAAAAGTAAATGCACTGCCTTTAGCTGGCTCTGTTTGGCTAACTGATGATATGTGATTCAAAACAGCAGAAGTACTGATAATTTAGGGCCTGGAAGGGTATTTGCGGGATTCAAGATTAGAGCAAAATACAGGTGGGATTCGAGAAATGTTACAGGGATACGGGATTTGACTTCTACCCGGGAAGCGGGATTCGCCAAAATTTGGGCACGGATGCAGGATTGGCCAAAGAAAAACCGATTTGGGATAGCGATAGAAGAAGTTCGGAATGCGGGATTTTTGTCAAAAAGGAGCTGTCATGCGGGTTAAGGATCCTTCTTTCCAGACCCTAATAATTCTGAAGTCACTTGGTGTTTTAAGACAGACTCGGTGAGGGAGAAATGCGATCAGCCTGACGAAATAAGGTGGTAATATTGATTAAGTTTTGTTTTAATTTATTTCAGCAAAACGTATTCTCACGATAAAGAAGTGCAAAGGTTATATGAGGAGATGGAACAGCAAATAAGATCGGAGAAAGAGAGAATACATAACGAGGTAAGTTAAATGATTATGGATTTCTTCAACCTGAAATGTAATAATCTAACATGCAACGTGCATTAATGGTCAAACATCTCAAACAGCTTTGGGGCTGAGCCTGCGTAGCTGGTGGTTTGTTTGGCGAGAGGGAAAAAACGCTGGCAAAACGCGCACGAATTTTTTCGTTACATCTGTGGCGGATCCAGGAATTTTTGATGGGGGGTGGTGGGAGGGGTCCAAACATTGGTTCAGAAAGGACCGTTGAACTCTTTTGTGCAAATTACTTTTCCCCCATAACCCCCACACCCCCTTCCACCAGTCGCGGTTGCACCCTCCCCCTGCATCTGTCACTGTCTGCACTACTCTTGTAGTGGCTTCGCGCGCGTTTTCGCAGCTTTTTTTTTCTCTCTCTCGCCTAACAAACCGCCGAGGTTTCGATATGTCCTTCGTTTAAATTTTATCCGCTATGTAAGCGTGACGGTTAATTCACCGCACTGAACTGAGTAAAAACGCGACGATTCGTAGAAACTGGGTTTATATAAGTTGACAAGATGCCTAGAAATACAGAAATTTTAATTTTGGGACAGGGCGAGTCGTCTCTCCAAGTCTTATGGTAAAAAGGTGTGAAACTGTAAAAAGTGCATTCAGAATGACTGCAGTGGTATTTTTTGTGTTTTTAGCAAGTAAAGCGCGAGAAGGCTCTCAAGGATGAGTTAGTTAGAGAACTGGAAAGCAAGGAACTAGAGATGCAACTTCTCTTACAGAAACAAAAATCGGTCAGTCGTTTATAGTTAACATTTACATTGCAACGTCTACCTTAATTCTACACGTACTTTATTTTTTCTTCTAGAGCTGCTGTAATAAATAGAAATAACGATATTTACATGAGGTGAAAGTCTTTCCTGCTTCTATGGCAGCGATACGTATGTATCTTGCATTTTTCGCGCCAAGTAGCGTTTAGACCTCGGCCAATCAGAACTCAAAACGATCAGTATGCAGACAGTGCTAACTAAATATAAGACAACAGTCATTTAGACTAATTGTTTCTAAAACAAAACAAAAAAGCATGAATATCGTCCCTGTTCGCTTGCAACATTTCCAGTTACTCTAAATATACAATTATACTTTGTCCTGGCTAGTTCACATGCAAGCGGCCTACCGCTTAGGAGACTAGTGGCAAACGCAGCACGATCCGGCAGATGAGAAATAGGGTGCTTCCCTTTCCGTATTACGTTTTCCTAAGCGAATTAAGTTTTTAGGCATACATTGTTTTTTTTCTGTTTTTTAGCTGGAGGAAGAAATTCAGAAGAAATCTAATATGGAACAAGACATAAAAACTGAGAACGAAAAACTCTATCAGGTTTGTAGCAAGGCTATGATGAGGGCCGAAATAGTTCCGCGATTATTTATTACCTTTTTGAGTGTTTTTTTAAGTTTACTTCGCAGACGAAAAGTTGCGATGATTGTGGCAGCCGAGATCTACGATGTAGGGTTTTTTTCGCATGTTAATAGCCAATTCTAACAATTCTCAAGATGGATGTTGAGAGTTACACCAACAAGTCAGTGTAGTTATACAGTACCGGCTATGTGACGGCCTAATTGGAGATGCATTTATATTGCGGAAAGATACATACGGTTTATAATCCAGTAAAACAGAGTGGTTTCAACAGGTGTTTAATTGTGAGTCGTTTACGCCGGTTTATCGACTTTTCATTGATCTTCATTCTCCTACAAGATGCTTGTTTCACTAATTTTATATTGCCATGCAAACCTACCCTTTAACACTGTCTTGTGTTTGTCTTTTTTCCGTTAGAAAACTGCTCATCTTGAAGAGATGTTAAACAAATCTGTAAGTTCCTTAGAAGACACTAAAAGTTATGTGAACCAACTACAAGCTCAAACGGCCATGGAAAAGAAGGAGAGAGCGAGGTAGGTTATCAGGCCGAGACTTGGACATCAGCCTGTCACAAAACATTATTGCATGGTAAAATTCGCCGTATTGCAAGCACTCAGAATTATATGGTGAGACCATGATGAGTGGTGCAACTTGCGTCACGTTTGATGTTAAGATTGCAATTTTAACGGTACAACGTGGTCTGAAATAGCCTACGCCAACCCACAGAGGGAATAAGTCCAACAAAACTACTGGTTACCGATGCAGGGTTACTTCTACGACGCATGCTAGGTCTCAATGTGTATTGTGGGTAATAAAAAAATCGTATTAAGTTGCAAAAGTTGCAGCGACTTTTCGGTACTTGTATTACGCATGTTTGTGTGTCTTTTTTGTCATAAATTTGGGCAGAAACCAGATAGATGGCTGCTTGAGAGGGTTCAACGCAACTTTGCGGATTCTTATGCCGAAACATGAAACATGTTAACCAGCTTGGAAGAAATTGGCGCAAGAAAGAAAGAGACTCGCGAGGGAGACACGCGCCCCGTTATTTCTCGCATATTAGTTTCAAGCGCATGCAACGCAGGCCAGAAACGTGTATGAGTCGGAGACAGACGACTCAGTGCTGCTATCTTGTTGCGCTGTGTGTTGTGAAAAGGCTTTTATTAAGGCTTTTATTTCTCGAAAATTTTTTTTTCCTTTTTGCGGCAATTCATGGAAGATTATACACCATCCTCGTTCCCAGTGCCTTTTTAAGGGCAAAGCCCAGGGGATGAGGTTGATGATTCACCATAGCTCTGTGGTGACGTCAAAGACGTTGCTTAGCATGACATAAAAGCAATTTTTAACTTAATTGATGTGGTTTTATTAAATTGAGGTAAAGTAAGACTTCACACGAGCAATATATATAATTGCCCCCTCCATAATTGTTCTCTTGGAAGAATCGCTCTCGGCTATTTTATCACTGTTTATAGTCCAACGAATGCATTATGCCGAGGAGGAAACGTTGGCAATTCAACGAATTATCATGTGATTTTAAAAAAACATGGGTTATAGCATTTCTATCAATGTCTGCCTCTATTTTTCGCGTAATCTTTTTTCGTCTTAACAAAGTTGCGTCGATAAGTTTTTGAAATTTGCCCTACGTGCTGTGCTCGAACGACGTAAACATGGAGTTTATAGACATTGTGTCCTACTGTTTTGTGTACATCTCGTTATGTCAATACGATGTGGGTCTTTCAGGATGTTATTATTACTTGCAAAGGCCGATACTAAACGGCAAAACTGCTTCACATTTTCATTACACTTTCTTTGATTTGTTAGTATTGTTTGCTTAAGGAGCTGTAATTATGCGCTTCCAAATAGCAAATTCTTCACCGACAGAAAAAAGTAAGAAACTTTTCATGTGCTGCTAAAATGTTCAATACTAGAAAATACCACCTTATTGTGAAGAATTATTCATGCATCACGCTTTGGTCGCGTATTGTAAGTCGATTATTTGATTGTCCGACTTAGGGCGTTAAGTCGTTAAATACAAGGGCTTACATGTAAGACGTCTCCGTGTTTTGAAGAACGNAGAAACTTTTCATGTGCTGCTAAAATGTTCAATACTAGAAAATACCACCTTTTTGTGAAGAATTATTCATGCATCACGCTTTGGTCGCGTATTGTAAGTCGATTATTTGATTGTCCGACTTAGGGCGTTAAGTCGTTAAATACAAGGGCTTACATGTAAGACGTCTCCGTGTTTTGAAGAACGAATATAATAGGAATTTTGATTAAATTGGCTACAGAAAGCTGATGTGTAATAGATATTGACTCAAACATTACTAGGACAACCAACAGTTTTCGAATGAACGTAAAGTGTTTAAAGTTTAGAAAGAAATAAATCTCTTTAATTGTTTTCTCCATTACCTTGCATATATTAGGGTTAATCCGAGCAATTTGTTTTCTTGAGTGTTTTTCGCTTTTTGGGTTTCAAAAAATACTACTGCTACAGAGCTTAAAAGTCGTTCTTTGTTTACTTTCGAATATGACCTTTATAAGTTTCCTGAGCGCACATGTGCTTTTCTAACTTTACTGTAGTGTCTTAAACCAAAATAGGCCATTTAACACCGAAAGTGAAAAGAAAAAATACTTTGGACTTAATAGTCGCTTATTTTGTTGACATTGAAGTGGAGCTAAAATTAGTTTTATGTGCGCAGTTGCTCTTTGTCATACTAATTGTTGGGAAAAAAATTGACTTTCGCCCCCTCACGTCATTTAACACTTCTTGCACCCGTCTTGAAATTTCTAGTTGAACACGTAGCCGGGTTGACAGGTACAGTCATCATTTATGCTAAAAGACCACCACCTTTGATAACAACGAGGTTTAAATGCACAGAATGCATGGAAGCCGAAAAATGACGAACGACTTGTTTTTGCCTTGAGATATATCAAGATGTCATAAAGCTTCCTGTAGACTTTTTGAGCAATTTCCTCGAGAAGTTTCGGCAAATTCCGTTCAGCTTGTTTTAGCACAACCTTATATTTATTCAAGAATCTTAAGTATTATGTGTACACGGCAGGCATAATGAACACTTTTGCCAATTAAACCTTCCAGAGGTGTTTGCACAGTGAGTGCTGTTCGTGCCTCGGTAAAAACTGTCGATTGTTGACGCGGCTTGATTGATTGGCGTGCAAAGAATAAAAACTTTGCAAATCCTTAACCCGGACTTGATCGGTAGGATTACACATGTTTGTCGCCGACGCGCGCCACGGAGATATTTGAAAAACCGGAGGCTTAACAGCGTGTTTAGCATGCTTGTGATCTTTGCTTTGAGATTTTACAAGCAGAAAATACACAATGTCGCGCACTCCAACGTATGTTTCTCGCCTTGATCCTCAATTTCGCCGTTTTGTCAACGTTGTTAATGTGTACCCTTCTTCGGAGACATCAGCTTCAAACGACGATTCGTCCAAAGAACAATCGCCATCTTTGGCCTCCAGCTCATGCTCTGAAATAAATCAGGATTTTATTTGCGTCGACGCTTATACAGAAGAAGACTGGGTTCCACCTCAGAGCTCTCAACGACGAGTTTCCGAATTTTTTATAGAGTACGCCAATGTTCTAAGCAGTGAAAGTGAGGCATCCATTGGAAATGACAACGACCTCAGAACTGCGGTACCCACTTCGACATCACTCAATTCTGAGGAAGAAGCACAAACTCTCAGGAGCTCTAAGCAACCTTACAGCCCCGATAGAATTCATGATGATTGTTTTGGAGACGATTCCGTCTTTTGGAGTCACGGGGGCGGTAAAATTTCTCAAGAAAAGTATGGGATGACGTTTTGTTTACAAAAGCAACCTGGTGTGTCGAACAAAAGACGGACATTAAATCGCTCATCAGTGAGGTCGTTTTCCAACGATGCTGACTCAGAAAGTAGTTTTCAAAACAACAATGAATCAGAGGGAGGTTTCGAGCATTTTACAGAAAATGAAGTTTTTGATGCAGAACAAAACACCCCGTGGAATATAAACACGAGTCAGGTCACCACGCAGCGTGTGCAAGAGGTCGTCCCTC